TGATCGTCTGTTTGTGATAACAGGAATTCAGTGGGCGATATGGTGATATGGTGTAGGGTAAATGTTAAATGGTAAACAGGCGACATAATAGAGGTCAAGCTCGGTGTAGACGTGGACGTGGCGATTGTGATGTCTGCCATGTTGAATATGTAGTAGCCGCTGAGTATCCGCTTCCTGCGATGGCTATCACACTATCTGGCTATCTGGCTATATGGCTATACGGCATGGCTATGTCTGTGTTATCAGTCACCGTTATATACTCGTTGATTGAAAACAATTATTGTGATCGATTGTGAAATATGTAATTCCACGAAGCTTCTAAAACTATTTGCGTACACTACCTTACCTACGAAAGCTTTCTAATTACCAACAATCACAACTCATAACTTCAAGAGAGGCTATGTTTTCGTTTATAACCCCTCATTCATTTGCCACTGACAGTGATTTAACGAATCATTGTGCAAAGCATTAATTGCACCACTCATAAACAATTAAATTGGTCTTATCAGCTGATTAGTTGAAGTTCGAAGCATTAAAATTGTACATGTTTTCTCTCAATCCTTGAACCTCATTGGTCCGTTACTCGTGTTGTTAAGTAAGGCAATGCTGTTACGTGAATCTTTTCCGATTAGTAAAAAAAGTAGGTAAAACATTTTGTTACCTTACTTTAATACATGTTTTTCTGTCAGCTGTTCACTGTGCAGCATATTGTGCCTGTGGACGACCGCGCAAGCGTGTGTTCTTGTAGCATCACGTTTGCGCACCTCCAGACAAACCGTTAGCGCACCGCACCAGTTGGTACACGTTTATATAACCTTTGCGAAATTTTAGGAATCTCTTAGCAAATCGACGTTGTATTTTGAAAAATTAGAATTGAAATGTAGCCCGCCAACGAGGACAAAGTGATTTTTCGAGCTTTGAGTCAACAATTTGATTATCAATCTTAAAAAGTACAAACTTGTAGAACAGTCTCTAGGAAGACTTTCAAGGAGACGGTCTTTGTGTAATTTTTATTATCATGCCGCGCCACATACTTTCACAAAAATACAACATTTTAGCCTAGTTTACTTTGACAGTCCATTTTCTATTATGTTTAGGCCCCAATCGGATGATAGCGTTTTTATTTGTATTAAAATTACAATAATTCCAAATTCTAAATTTAAATAGTATTTTAAGTTATTGTTTTCTATTTCATAAAAGTGATATAAACACGAATCCTTGCAGCAAATACTACACAGAAATCTTGAATAAAATCAAAAATAATTTCAATTTAAATATCTGTGATAAAATAGTTTTTTTACCTCAGAAACTTTGTGATACTGAATGTAAGAGTTTTTTAATCATGAATACCAGTGATTCTAGTGAGATAAAACCTCTCTTGGCAACGTTATCATTAGACTGAGTAAGCTGCATTGTTTTGGTTTACAACGAATCCATCAAAGAAAGGAATCTTTACTTGGAGTGATACTATAGCTGTGTTGTGTATGGTTGTAAATTCCGTAATATGTACGGTTTTACCTTGTAATACTCAATTTGGAATATAGGGATTTCATAAATACGTTTTGGGCGAGAATAGTTCCTCAAATTAATAACAATAATAGACTGATAGTTTGGTTAGATTGTAGTTCAACATATTCAGGGCTTACATAACAATATTTACGAAACATATTACAGATACGACAGCTATTTAAACATAGTGGCAATTAATTAAGAAATACATAAGAAAGTAATAAATGCTAAGGAGTATTTCTTTGCTCCTGGAGACGAACTGGCCGCTGGAGACCGGAGACGGAGCAGTTGCAGGGCTATGAACTCCTCTGTAGGTCATCGCATGGTGTCCAAGGACGGGGGGCTTTGACCCTGGGTGTTTTGAGTTGGATGTGGAGATTAAGTCGAGAACAAACAGTCAGCACTTATTATGAACTATTGATTCTTTACACACATTTAACTATCGGAAAATAGTATAGCGCTAAAATAATTTCACTATTTTCTATCTAAATAAAAAAAAACCTCCTTCAGCTGGTCCATATAGAGGAGATGTTTACAAATCTTATAGTCAATTCGGCCAAATTTTCACAAAGACAAGTGTTCGTTCAGAAATACAATGGTACTACATAAACGACTGCACAAAAATCTAACTCAAATAATTTATTTTTGTGATTTTCAGTAGCATACATTGAAATGCATGTTTCGTTATAAAAAACTCCTGTAAATATATTTGCATTACAATGTCGGAGTAATGCTCTTCTGTTTGTCACAAGTTAATATTGATATCAATAGCAATAGTTATAGTTAATTTACAATGGCGAATATAACACCCGCATCCAAAACAGCTGTTGCAAAGAGCGAGACATACTTAGCCACCTGCAAATAAAGTTAATTATAGGTTTTATTTAAACTAAAGACGGTATCAATGAACGATGTTGTAACAGGAAAATTGTTTTCCAATCCAACTAAAACACCATGTTCATAATAACATTACTCACAGAAAAACTCACAGTATCGTTCATAATAACTTTAAACTTAAATTAAAGTTCAGTTTTTTACTAAATCAAAATAACTACTTTAACTTAACCCAACCTGGTGTAGCTTGCATTTAAAGAAGTTTGGAAGTTGCTACAGATTATTAACCTTAATTTAAGTTGGGATTACAAGTTTATTTATACAAGTGAACAGCAAGAGGAGTACAATCGTTCTCTCATTTAATCGAAAATCACCTGACCTTAGTCAGATAAGATATATTAAGTTTCCAAAATACTGATAAGGGCGGATTCCCTCGAAATTAAGTAGTTAATTTGAAAATGTCAGTAAAATAGGTATATCGACTATGTATTGGATTATATTTATTTAAAGCCACTACCAATCACTGAACAACGTATATTTGAAGATAGGTTAAGGTTGACGAACCCATTAGCACTTCGTCTGTTTCTCGACGAACTTATATTCCATCACGAGTCCGCCATCTTGTCTTATATAATCCCTAGCTGCCTTCTGTGGATTTGGAAAGAAGTTGTCAAAACTTTTTGCTGGAGGAGGCACTTGATGGGGGAAATTGTGTGTTTGTCAGACATATTTCGGTAGATAGGCCTTTGTGTGGGACTGTACTTTATTTATTTAATTTTTTTAAATGAATCACTTGTAAAAAATCTTCCCCAATGTATCTATGTAAAAACCTCTACGAATTTGCCTGAATGTATCATATACACGTGTAAAATAGTCTTTTTTAATTTATCGTGTCGAACGAAATGGGATGTAAATTCAAATAATTACATTCCAAACAAAATAGGTGCTACATCCAGATATAACTTTATTGTTCAATAATTACACAATATTAGCTGTGTACCTAAAACGGGAGGCTTGTTTAAAACAATAAATTGTGTTTGAGTTATCAAATGATTGATTGCATAAACTATTTAATTTTCATAAATCATAAGTGAATTAGGTGATATTTAGATTTTTTCATGCGTAATCCAACTAGAATTTCAACACCTAGACTTTTAACTTACAAGAGGAAGGTTTTAGAGCAGAGACCATTTACCCCCCGTGGTCTACACATATCCCCTCTCTATAAATACATACACTCTACTCTATACCCGTGGTAAAACGTTGGCCTTTCTTTACTGTTATTCCCTCACAATCTCTCTCACACACGCTGTCACATTTTTACAAGTTTTTTTTAGAAGTTTTACAACATTGTGCACTAAATGTTATCAATAATGGTTGATGATAGTTCTAGGTAGTTATTTCCATGATTAAAGTTTTAAAATGAAATCAACTTAGTTCAATTGAGCATTCGGCAAAGAGTCTCCATAAATATATATATAAAACATTAACATTTATAATATTAGTAAGATATAGGTATAAATCTTAGGAAGCGATGATATGATTGATTAATTACTGATTGCAAAAGTTTGGCTAACATTTTATCCGAACGGTTAAAATCACTTTGAATATTTTTATAAATGTTATGGAATAATACACGTTATAACACAGATGTTTCCAAACCCACGCAAATGTTCATGTTCCTCTCAGTAATTCACTATCTTCGCTGTTGTCAGGCCTTTGTGCTTGCCGCCCCGATGCACGCCCCATTTACCGGCCCGACATAGATTCCAATCTTCAACACAAAAATGTTCTCTGCAAGCTTCCTGTCCCTCGATGGGTGATAACTTGAGACAATTTATGGTCCCGGGCCAAATTGGCCATCACACACCTCTTCCGTAGTCCCATTGTTTATATTTAGCTTCGGCGTAGTATATTGAAATGTTTACATGTTTAAGTAATTGCAGAATTTGAACCCCGATTCAATTAGGATAGTCGTGTGGAATTGTGCCATTTAAACATTTATAATAATTCCATTAATAATATTTTAAATGAGGCAAATAAAAAAATTATAAAAATAATAAATTATAAAATTATTTATTATTTTAAATGAATATTTTTAATATTTGTTATGCGACTTTCAAATTATAAACCTGAACTTTTGAGTTATTTTGTATATGCTGTGTTTTCAACGACCTTATCATTTAATCTTGTATTTTTTTATTTTTCATAAAACCCTTAAAACTTTCTACGAAATATTGGAGAAACAAAGTCAATATTTTGAGCGTGGTTGCTGAAATTTGGAGTTTTTCTTCCGCTGAATATGATGCAGCTATATTTAAACCATTAAAATTGTTACAAATAATGTAATTAATTACACTTCTTTAATTTTGTATAATGAGTATAAATATGTATAAATAGGTAAAATGAGTGTTATCTATGAAAGAAGATGGATTCTTGTGTGTACGAGTATTTTCTAGGCTCTTGTGCTATACCATATTCATGCTATGAACACCTTCGAGCCTATCATGAAATAAGACGTCAAGACCTTATGTGCTCAGAAACTTTCATTGTACTTTCCAGTAAAATCGACAAATCCTGACACATTGTAGATTCCATTCCAGCTATGCCGTGTACACATTCCTCATATGTTCCTAACCAGTGTGTTCTTGTTGCAGCGTACGGGAAGGTGTTCCTGGTCCGCAAGAAGGGAGGTGTCGACGACGGCCGCCTGTACGCTATGAAGGTGCTGAAGAAGGCGACTATCGTGCAGAAGAAGAAGACCACGGAACACACCAAGACTGAGCGACAAGTGCTGGAAGCTGTGAGACAATCACCCTTTCTGGTCACACTGCACTACGCCTTCCAGACCGACGCCAAACTCCATCTCATACTGGGTGAGTCTATACTGTAGTTTTACCTACTGGGGACGCGAATTGGTGTATTTTAATACAAAAATGAAGGATAAGTGTAGGATGAGATGCATTGTGAAACCATACTTGACTATAAGATCAGTAGTCAATAAGATCTGTACGATCAGCTGTTTATTTGATTCATTAAGGAACCCAATAATCAAGTACAGCTGAGTCCAGTTTCGAACCATCACAAAGCTATGGGTTCTAGTGCTCGCCGATTTTAAAAATCAGTAGGGCTTTGTCAGTTTAAATCTAAACACAGCGCTTTGACCATTGGATTTGAAAGGATCCTGGTCAAAAACAGCTGATCTTACTCGGTAAGAAAGCTTCATAAGACACACACCTAGTTGTAATAAATTTCAAAATTAACTAGTCAATTATACCAAGCAATTAGATAGCTGAACGGCCAAGTCTCTTTAGTTCAATCCTGGAAGTTACTTTGTGATGCTTACTGCTCAGCAATTAATTCCTTGGCTTCCACCCCCACCCCAAATTCAATGAAAGCAAAAACACCCAATTACAGCTTAAATTTTCGTATTTATTCATAGCCGAGAGCCACACGCTATTTATAGAATCCCATTAACAGTCTTGTAAAAACACTGATACATTATATCTTGGTTTACCAGTTAAATCTGATAACTCTTCCCAATGAAATATGGGTCCGTTCATTTAACATTTCAAATTTTAATTTTTACCTACATCTAAATTTGGTATAGATGGAAAATAATTTGAAAAGGTTCATATTAGATAATGAATAATATTTCAAACACAATATCCAACTATACAAAACAGTTCCAAATGTGTTAAGTTGTTTTTTTGACTTTTATTGTGTTTAATTTTACAACAGTATTTTTTCTTATTCCTTAAATGTTTATATTTCTCGAAATATATGGTCTTTTTCCGCTTCAATGAACATAATGCAATTTTCTTTAACGTTAATATTTCATTTAACAATATAAACATTTTACTTATAAATCAATCCAAGATTTTCAATTTAACGTGAAGCCCACAAGTGTGTTGTCTAAAAAATAATATTTATGCCTGCTATTGACATTCCACCGTTATCGTTCTTGCTCGGTGAACTTTAGAATCCGCTCCTCATGTGTTAACACAGCAGATTGATTAAATGCTGATAACAGTTTTTATTCTCGCTACACAAGCAGACAAGCCTTTACACCATGATAGACTAGACAATGCAGTTTGGTTTACAAAACAAAGCCTTCAGTAAATACTGTAGTTCACTCTCCTTGGCATTCTTAGCCATGTTTGCGGTTGCAAAGACTTCGCGTTGTCAGCAATAACGTACACCAAATGGCAAGGTCAGTGGAACTGAGTTGTCCATTTAACCACACTTTTTGTTATGTATGTAACATCCAACATTCAACACGATTTTGCAATTAGTGAATCTTGCAAGGTTTTGCAAATCAATTACTTTTTTGCAAATTGAAGGATACGTGAAGGATTTTGAAAATGTTTGTAGATTAGGTACCTGTAAAACATTACTGAAAACCTTTGCTTGCTTTGATGGTGGTTTTGTCAGACTTACAGAGGGGGTTTTAAGGAAAGAAGAATGAAAGTAATCTTTTACGTGTGCAAGCGTTGAGCGTTTTATTGTACAGAAAGAGTATATCTAGTACATTTTCTAATGACGCGAATAAGATTTTTACCTCAATATTCCTCTAGTATTATACTCTTATCTAACTAACCATATGTTCTTAACAACGACTGTAGTGTTTTTAAATTTCGCCCTTAAAGTAGTTAAATCCCATCTATATGGACCAACTGTAGATGGGTTTTCACTCAATAAAAAAACTTACTGGGACCGCAAAATAATATTTTTGGGATGGATTTACATTGACCAAAGAATACTCTCAGAGTATAGCGGTAAAGTTCCCCGAGCAAAGCTCGGTCCCCAGGTACCGTATGTTAATTGTAGTCTATGTGAAGTGAAGTAAAAAGTCCATTGCTTGACAAAATTAAACGGGCAGTTTACACTATTCACGTTTATGTCCACTTATGGTTGTATATCAACGTTACCTTTCCCAACACCATGTTAGGATTAAAAGAGCTATTGTGTAACCAAATGAAGATCGGCAAATGACAAAAAATACTTGTAACACTCCGCTTCTTTTCACAACCATGATGCAATCCGGTTATCCATCCGGACGGAAAGACTTCTCCAAACCACGAAGACGGACGGAGGTATTCGGCGAAAGCACGGAGAAAGTGAACATAGGATGTGCTCTACACCATTGTTGTGGCCGACCATCCGGTAACAATTAACTCTTAACTTCTTGCCGTAAAACACGGACAATGTCCAACTTGGCGAGGTGAACAGGTGGCTATATACTGTAGTTTATGTTATGGTTCGGGTTATTCGTGAAATTAAAAATAACTACAAAGCGTAACTGAGGAGTATTTTGTTTTGTTTTGTTTTCTCCTATAAGGATTTATTTTACGTTTTTTGGGTGGGCATTAATTGCGCCACGATAGGTTAGGATGACACGTTAACAAGGACATTCCTTCTGCCGGCAACTCACCCCTACCTGGCTTGGGCTTGGACCTTTGGGCGGGAATTAAGGAACTCATTGGCGCAATTAATGCACTACCTTTTTTGTGGGGGGGGGGGGGGGGGTACCGACGTCATTGAGTGATAGCCCAATGTTTTAAACTATTAAATTGCATATATTGTCTTAATAACTTACTTACGTGCTTTGATTTTTCAAAATTTAATCCAAAACGTTTCAAATCTACAAAAAACAACTCCAATATTTTCTTAATGTGTTTAGTATATTGGTTGAGGTAGATACAAGAATTAGCCTTCACAACGTTTTAAAGCAGTTCTGGTGTTATGAAAGATTTACTCTTTCTCGATTTATCTGTTCAATAGATTAGCCTCATATCGCTCCACAAACAACAATCTCTGCTGTATCTCCTTGGGGAATCCCAATCCTAGAGTTTCTGGTGAAGATGTTTCCAGGTGAAAGTTATGTCCTTGGAATAGTGAAGTTTCTTCCAGTCTCACTTTTGAGGTGTTTAATAGATTATTTTAGATTAGGTTGTTGGAAGTAGTATTGGATGGTTAAATCTATTTAAGAAATTTACTGAATTGTCTGAACAAATGTTTCTTCTGTATAGTTGAATTTTGTATCATCTCCATTATTTTTTTGAAGTGTCTTAAACATGTTGCAGTATAAAAATATCCAATTGCAGGAAAATATTTAGAAAATTACTCTCAATAGTTGACATTAACGACACTGAACCAAAATCCACTTGTAATTACAAAATCCTCAAAATGAGATTCTGATTCCAACGAGATGGTCACAACTATCATTTTCCAAGTACAGTAATAACAATCTATTGGCCGATGAAATGTTCTATGCATTGACTATTGGGTATTTACAGTACATAGTTTAGGGCCTGCCTCAATTAGGGGAAAGGAAGTGACAATATTTAGACGTTCACTGGAGACTCTGTCCCGGATATGTAAAGTTGGCCCCGGGACTTTGACATACAGATTAGTTCGGGAACTGACTCGTTAAGATAACCTGTTCAGTGTAACAAATGCGTTTATAACGACCGTCGGGTCACGGGTTCGAACCTGCTCTGGGAACAGAAATCGAAATACTTTAATTGTAACTGGATAGAATTGAAAATCATAAAAATTATCATTTTAGTATTAGTTTGTCAGTCGATGATAGCAAACGTTCATTCGATGACAAGAAACTAATAGTTAAGAAGAAAACTTCATCTTTGTAAACTACATTGTCTTCAGCTGGTACATTATGATGACCATTCTATAGGTATAACATTCTATAGGTAGTATGTTAAATTATTGATAGCTCAAGTAGACTTCTAGCCCTATTGTACAATCTAAAAATCTGCTTAACTTAACCAATCCTATATGTATAACATTCTATAGGTAGTATGTTAAATTATTGATAGCTCAAGTAGACTTCTAGACCTATTGTACAATCTAAAAATCTGCTTAACTTAACCAATCATAGTTGTATTAATACTTATGAAGTCATTCGGGTGAAGCCCGTGGGTAACAGCAATGAATACAAACCACTAGGAGGTTTATATTCATAGTTTATATTCATTATATTCACATAGTGGTCTGTATTCAATGGTAACAGCTAGTTATAATTAAAGAACAAAAACTCTATCTAAAAATAATACAATTAATCTTAAAATTGTCGTCAACTGATCTATACATAAAAATCACTAAGAAAACATATGTTTCAATTGTTTCGAATTAAGTTGACGTTTTTGTAATAAATCAGCTGATAAACTCAAACACGATTGTTTTAAAAACATATGATTCCGTTTAGGAAAACAGCTGATATTTCAAATATACCTAACCTAAAAATTTTCATCAGATCCTGAAAGATGACGAATTAATCTAAAATTACAGTAAGAGGTGGACACTATTTATTCTCTGCTATAAGGGAAGTTTAATCTATAGTTCTCATTTCCACCCCAAGTTGGGGATCTATTTTCTATACGTCTCCCCCGAGATGCCCTCATATTCCCGCAGCTTTGATACTGAGAGGGTGTTTCCGCTGTTCCGCTTATTTGAAGTTAACCCTCCTCATTATCACAGTTCGCTGGTCCCGTTTATTCTGGAAATCAGAATTACACGAGGGAACGAAGAATTAACACGTGCTGTTGATTTGATTTTGTGTTTGTTGAGACTGATTGGGGTCGATTGTGAAAGATTCGTGCATTTCTGTAACTATAAGCTGTAATCGTTGACGAAGATTTGATTTTATAGGTAAATAATTGTGATGATGTTTGGTTGAGGATTAACTTCTTCCTACATATTTTCCTCCATCTTAAGTTTTGTATCTTATGTTCATTATTTATTCGTCACGAATACTTTAACTCAAATTCAAGTTAGAATTCGTAGTTTTAGGGTAAAATAAGGTAAATATTAGCTGTGAATCGTTTATTCTCCCTAAAATATTGTTAAACCATTTATTGGTATCTGAGCTTTGGTATATTTTTGTAAATTATTGAACAGATTTTCTCCAAAGTCCTGCGATTTGTAAATAAAACTTCTAATTCAAATTTTTGTAGTCTGCAACCCAAGAAGATAGATACAGTTTTCATAAACTGTGTTAAACAACCGCTGATTTCGATTGGACACTCCAATCATTATCAGACCTAATAGTTGTACAGGGTCATCACATTGATCCATTATCCTATTGGGCCTTAAAGTGATATTACAATCAGTCATTATATTACAACGCATTTAATGCTGATAGGTTTTTGATCAAAATAACAGGCCTGCAGAAAAACAATAATTCTTCCAACCAATATTGCTAGAATAAATCTTTTAAGGATCCGTGCAGTTAGCTATCCATTGTTTCTGCTGGTAAACTATTTTCGGCACAGTATATTTGTAGGGAATTAAGGAGATTCTTTCCCTCACGATTATATCTGAAACACAATGCAAACAAGGTCAAAATCCATTAGTTTCACTCAACTAATTCAATTGCTACGTGGGCGAGGTTAGGTCGGTAAGGGTAGTTATTCAATTTTAAATGGATACATTCTTATAGAAATATAAGTTCCTTTTTTTGTGGATGTAAAATAAATATCTTTACCTATCGGGTCAAACTTGAATTTAAAGCTGAAAGCAGCTAACGTATTTAAACCTTGAAGAACCTTTTTCACACCATTCCCCTCTAATATAACAAACATTGAGTGAAATAAAACAAAAGCTGTTTAGATGAACATGAAACAACAATCCTAACCTAACATGTGTTTAAAGGAGTTTAGGGACAGTTAACAGTTTTTAATATGAAACCGGCCACAGTAGTAAACCAACTTGCTCAAGTAAATTACTGCAATGAAATTCCTATTTTGGCACACCAGCAACGTTATTGTTGAAATAGTTACCGTACTTCACACTGAAACACGTGTTACTACTGTACAGTAACGTCGTCTTACTCTTATCACATTATTACCACAGTTCGTCGTATGGCCTTGACTCGTGACCACGTGCCACGTGATCAGCTGATTTAGTACGTCATTACGCGCGGTTTTGCCTACTTCTGACGACATAACGTTATGACCACATGATCAGCTGATTTACCATCGTCTCGTACGCGCGGGACCTACGTATGACGTCATACAGTTGTGGCGTCAATGTAGTTCAAATATTCCCTTTACCAACGTCATTACGCTGAAGAGTTTTAATTATTCGCATACTTGGTGGCGTGCGGAGGAAATTGAATTGAATGGAGCGTAAAGCTTGGACCGTTTTGTTTCAGAGTTTCCCCTTTGGTTTAGTTCCAGAATTTAATCGCAAATTTTACTATTCCGTGTGTGGTTTTTATTATTTTTTAAAATTATTTTATCGGTGTTTGTGGTTTAAACATACTCGGGAATAATTTAGTAAGTAGCTTAAATCTTTTAAGCTTCTGAGCACTGCTCGCATGGGCACAGGTAAGTTACGCAATCATTCTTACCTAAAAATAAAAAATAAATTTGTAACTATATTTCACGAAAATTTAATAAAATTGTATATTATATCACTTTTGGACTGGTTTCTTTGAAGAAATATGTCGACTGTCAGAAATCTGACCGTTCAATTCGATTAATTACTATCCAGCGTCTTCAATAACAGTTTTTTTTTAGCCTCAACTACATGATTTGTTCACACAAATTCTGAATTACAGTAATTTTTCGAATGGTCATTATCTATATATTATTATTACTGTTTAAGTGCGTAGTTCAAGCTGACTACTGTATAAATGCAATATGTGTATGAATTGTGTGAGATAATCTGTCAAGTTTTGATACTGACATAGATAAGCTGATTCTAGCCAGGTTTACTGAATAAATTCCCAATAAACCAGCAGGTCTCGAGCAATGTCGAATAGACCTAAAAAACAAAATAATATTTCAGAAAGATATTTTTTTACAGAAGGGTTTGTTGTTCCCAACTTGTTCCCAACTTGTTTTGTTGTCTAGTCTTGGTACCAGCTGGTGTGGCAAGGCAAGGTGTAGGAAGTGTGATCGGGTAGTCCCCCCCTCCCCCTAGTGGGGGTGGTGTAGGAGATGAATGGTCCCCAGCTGTAGGTGGGAGGGGGAGGTACACGTGGAGATATCCTACCAGCTACACCTACAACTGGGAAACGCAACAATAACAGCACCCTACTGTTGATTTTAGAATGTTTTTTGAGTAACTTACTTCAATTATTGACTTTTGTATACTGAAGTATATATCCCATCTGGCCAACTGTAGCCTACCAATATTCACTTATTTCAATAGTGAAGGGTTGTACAATATATTTTACTTAAGCATTTTGGAACTGAAATTATTTATAAATTCCTAGCTTAACATAAAAAATAAATGATGATGCGAAAATACAGCACTTTCCATAAAAATCAGCAATTGGAAATGTCGTAGCTTACCCTGGGTTGGATTATGGCGATTTTTGAGTTCAAATAAATCAAGTATGTAAACAAATGTATTTCTGTGTATACCTTTTGACAAATTGAAGCAGTTTCTTTGTGTAAGGTATACCTCGTTAACTATAGCAAGTGATAGGCGAGTTTGAGTTGGTGATACAATGGGAGCGATCAGTCAGCTGATTGCGTAGTCGGAGTGTGCGACATCTTGCGTAATGTTTACGTACTACCTCGACTACCAGGGATGCCAACTGACAAATAGAGAAACGAAAATTCCCTCATAATTACCCACGTCGGTGACATTTCATCATTTACTGTCGTGATGGTTTATAACCTCGAATCTTCTTTGTTTACACTTTACAGTGTTGTAAAACCACTTCATATCAAAAGTGTAGGAACAATCCAATAACCGTTCAATTAATAATTTATACAATTATTTTCTATGTTTATAGTTTTTTTTATGAAATTAAATCTTGACCAAAACATCGATTACAGGAATTACATTGTACTCAATTTCCATTAGCTATGTTTATTTTTTTTATCTCCCCTGTTTCTATGTGCTATTGTGTTTAAGTAAACAATAGCGTGCAATTTAACACATTTTAAACAATATAATAGGGCCAAATCGAGTGACAATTGATTTCACTATATGTTCAATACCAAAGAAATCTTTATTTGAATAAGTACTTACCTTGGTTAATGTAAGTAGTCAAAGCACTGGATTTTTTTCTCTTACAAGTTCATTCTAAGGAATCTCTTCTTTTAATTATGTTTTAGCGCAAATGACCAAAAATCTATACAACCTAAAGAATGGTAATGAAATCCCAATTTAATTAGAATGCAGCTATAAATTCTAACATATTTATGTCCAGTTTTTTTTATTCTCTCGCGATAATTTATTTTTAGCTGGCCATTTAACATGAACTATTGTATAGCAAGCGGGATGTTCACAATATTGCTATTTTAAGCTGAAGGTCACTACACTAGCGCTGAGTAGAGGCCGTGGCCATTCTACGAACTACGACCTTAACCTTGTACTATGTCACTGTACATAGAACCTTCAAGTTAAGGCCCTATTTCAAAACCATCAATATTCTATACTGTTAAAAGTAAAAAAAAAGAAAATGTTACGCATTGGCTCTAGGAAGTACGAATATACATTTTGTTTAAAAAATGTATCAAGAAGTTTATGATTTTAAGAGAAACTTGACAGTTACATTTTTATGTGTGTATTTTTTTAGTTTACTATTTTTTTGTCATAAAATTGTGTCAGGGCTATACAGTAGTGCCAAAATATTATATTTCAAATTTAAAATGCACTCCTAACCTAAAATAATTCACTTTGCATTAGAATTTGTGCAACAAATATTTTTATGCTGTTTTGTCAGTAACCGAAACAAATACATCAAAATTGTTGGCAATTTTAAGGACATGAATAGCCTCTAAGCCTATATTATGTTACCTAGGTTTCCCCTACCTTTACTCTATACTGCCATCTACCTTAATAGGTGAAGTTTCAGTGCAGATGGCTCATTACATTTCGCAATTCTATGAACGTTGGATGTATTGTTTGTTTATTTGTTCATCTAGTTCATTATTTGATTGTTTGTTCCCAGATTTTGTGTCCGGAGGAGAGCTTTTCACACACTTGTACCAGAATGAGCGCTTCCCCGAATATCAGGTCAGGATATACATTGGCGAAGTGGTTCTGGCTTTGGAACACCTACACAAGGTAAGTTATCTGTAGCATTGACTATACACCTCTACTGTCAATGTCTGAAGATATTTAGGTAAAGAATAGTGGTTTTGTGTGTGTGTGAAGAGTAACTAAGTTGCCCCGAAGATGGAAGACTCATGTGTTCGAAACGTCGTTATTTTACATCGCCCAAGCACGTTTTCATTGTTAAACCCAGAAATCAAAAGGTTTTCGTTATTAAAATTTCCAAAAGGTAGAATGAGACTTTGTGTTACCCAATAGATTAAACTGCATTTAGATTTAATCTAGCACAAAAACACAATGCGAGAAAAGCTCATTACCTATTAGAATATAGCATTCTATCTAAGTCAGTTTTTTATAACTATGTATCCGATTGTGTTAAGAAATGAGCTCACTTTTCCATCGATCGTAAGGAAATCAGACTAGAGAAAATGTACAGATTAAAGTTATTATCTACTTCCCTAGAGTTGTTTGTCATCTAAAATCTATGTTTAGCTTCGACTATAAATGCTTACTATCGTGAAGACATAAAGTTAATTTTGTACGAATAACGATGGATTTTGTATCGTAATCTACTTGCTTTTTTGGTAAGAAAATCCTGTACAGGATAACGATTAGCTAATTTGTCTGCCAAAATAAAATAGATAATTCTTGTTTGCTCGCTAGTCGCTACTATAATGGAAACCGAGAGTAGAGCGCGGTGAGGCGGGGCAGAGCGGTACCTCCTCAACGCCACGCTGCGCTAACTGTACAAGATGGGAACGTGAAATGAGGCCGCGCAACTCGCAATACAACGGGCCTCTTCCTGCGCGGTGCGCACATCATGGTAACTCATCAGGCGCGAGCAAATAGCGGCCTTGGAGCGGACTGTACCACTACTACTCACTCACTAGATCTTGGGTTGGTCACTTATGCTACAGTGGATGTAGTTCTTTGGGGAACTAGTAGGCTATAGATTGGTCAGAAGTAATGTTAAAGAAGAGCTCACTTGAGAATCTCAGCAATTAGTAATGACAAATGAGGTTGTTGAGATGTCGTCTGGCCTAGCTAGATAAGGTTCAAACGCGAATAGTGCGGATCGGTTCAGTAGGCAGTCACGCGACACTGGAATGTTTTTACAGTAATGTGCAGAAGTAGATGAAGTTATCGTGGTGACATCAGTCAGTCCAGTGACTATAGTCCGTGAGCCGGGTGTAGGGGCCAGGGCTAGAGATATACAGTGGTATATATGCGACTCTGTGTAGGGGCGGCCATTAGTTGCGCCAACTGTCCTGAGTCGGCTATTCCTGAATTGCGCCAACTACTCCAGGAAGCCACCCGATACGTTACTAAGACAAGTGGCGGCTCTCGTTGACTGTATGATTGAGTAGGTTAAGGTTAGGTTGGGTTGGGTTGGGTTGGGTTAGGTCAGGTTAGATTAGTTTAGGATGACACGTAAACAAGGACATTCCTTCTGCCGGCAACTCACCCCTACCTCGCTTGGTCTTGGCGAAATTAGAACTCTTTGGCGCAATTAATGCACGACCGGGTGTTATTAAGTTTTTGCTGGTTGACTCACAGTAAAGGGGGATTAGGGAACCTAATAGCAACAAGTGACCCTCTTTAAGATGACAAATACAACTAAAAAATGTGATATTGTGGTTTATCTTACCATTTCTCCTAATTTCATCAAACATTTCATGCAATTCGACCAACATTTATAGATTTTTCACTTTTACATATTTGAGCATTGCAAACGTCAGTACCCCCTTTGGTTCACCATAGGCTATAGGCTAGAACTATAGACCATGGTCAGTGGATGTTCCACCTTCTACCAATTAGCCAATCTACATAACCACAATGTAATGCCGGAATGTTCCGCGCAGAGTGCGCTAGTGCGCCACTTTCTCTCGTTACTTCCGCCTGTCGGCTTTTCCTTTCTAACGGTCCTCCTCTCCACTTCCACTCGCGTCTTCTTCCCTCTCTCCTTTCGTCCACTTCCCAGGCAGTAACGCGATTAGAAAGGCCATTTCGTATTCGGGAACTGACATAAACTAGGTAATAATTAATGGGTTGGATTCACAGGCCTGATGGACGGGGGGTGGAAATTGCGGTGAATGAAGAGGGACTGTGAAATAAGAATTACACTAAAATACAGTGTTGGGCTGGATTCGGAATTAATTGCTAACGAAATCCTCGAAAATTTTCAATTTGTTTCCGAAGTTTTGAGTTTGGATTCTGTAACGACAATACTCACTGCGACAATGTGCGATAGAAGTATTTTTTATGTCTTCGCCTGAAGCATTTTTACGGAAGAATCGCAAACGCTTTTAAGAGAAAGCTGTCCAACCCAACAGTATTTGTGGTACTATGGGAACCGTACAGGCTTCTTCTTTCAACAAATATCCAGAGGCTCGAACCATTAGGCACCAGTATTGTGTCACAAAACTTCAAAAGATCACAAAGACAGATGTGTTGATGGATTACAATGCAATATTACAAAATTGGGCTATCCAATCAAACTCCACCAGTACAGCAATGCTACCAGAACTGAACAACACACGGACAGTAGAGCGCGCCTTGGGCCGTGACGGAGGTTTTCGCAAGACGCAAGGTCGACGTGGGAAAGTCCCTAGATATCGGCCGGAACTGCCCAAGCCCAACCGGCTGTACGGCATCAGACGGATTTTCCTCCTCGGCCTGCGTAACAATTCTCCAAAAGATAACAGATATTCAAAGTCACTTCAACTCCAATGATGTTTTCTATTCTACCTGTTTATCCAGATCCCAACCCGTGAAGCATTTGCATACGAGATTTTTGTTGTGAGTTCTCTGGCAACTGTACAAAGTGACAAGGTCTCAGCTGTTGACTGCTTTTGTGGAGGACTACAAGGTAAACACCACCCGAATAATCGTGAATATCGACGAGTTTTTTTTTTTTTTATGTATTATGAACATGTTGTTATAGGCCAATGTTATCATTTAAGCGATGATTTCATATAGAAGACTATTGATCTTATTAATCTCAGAAAGTCAGGAAAATGAGGAGATAATGTCCATTTGATTGACAAGCTTTCATTCTTTATAGGTTGTCATGAACCATTGCGAATCAACCAAATGCAAGAGTTTGCTGGATATCATATTAATATCCGTCATTTTAATACAGGCACAGGCTAAAGAACTAAACTGATCTAATTTTGTGATTTGTCTTTGGATCCAGATCTACGCCACCATTGAGAATATGGTAATAGATATCTCCTTATTTGAAAACTCTCTAAGAACCCCGATTAATTTCTTTGTCAACCCAGTTGCAAAGCTTGTGAACAGTGGAAATCGTTTTAGAATTTTGCAATTATTCAATTGTACCCTTAAGTGAACCTAATAATGTTTCAAGGTATCGTCCCTAAAATTACATTTGGACACAGCCATTTGAATCCCAGATCGGATTATGGTTATTTTCAAGTGTGAAGAAAATTGTACCTTCTGATCTTCAAACATCCACTATATTTGACAGCAGCACGTGCAGTTTTTGCAAGTTTTGCATAGGTATTGCGGGGCAGTTTCCTATGAAGTGCCATGTGGGATGTTGGGGCACCCGCTATTGTTGTTTACCCGCTAGTCTGGCAGGCGCCCACAGGATGCATCAGACTCCAGGTGCAGATGATGGAAGGTATCAAATCTCGACGCAGCGCCTGTGCCAGGCAGGTGCTGCTGGAGCTGCAGCTGTCTGTGTTGTGTGTGGTAGTTGTAGCAGGTGACCTCGCCCTTGCATTGCACGGGATTCCTTCTTGTATGGGATTACTAGACTTGACTTGCAGCTAGCGCCGTCCTTCCTCGGAAACATCTGCTGGAATAGAATGCTTGTAATGGAGGTAGTTCTTCATTCAGAGAAATTTCTCCATCCAGTCCAGAGTAAGTTCTCAATGCAGAGAAAGTTCTTCTCGCATGAGATACAGTTGTTTCTTGATTGGTTGACTTACAGCTCAAAGTTTTGAAACCGGAGAAGTTTTTTTTTCAAGAATCAGACAGCCATTATTAAATTTGTTTTATGCAAATGAAGTTGTTAAGTTAGGCTAGGTAAGATCAGGTCGCCCCTTCATTGGAAATTAATATTGACTTCCACTGGGTGACAACATAATCACATTCCCCTGGTAATTGACCGAATTTGAACCCGTGTCTCCATGACAGAATGGCCGTGATCTAGCCTTGATCAGCATCTGCAGTCATTTAGGAACGAATATTTCTATTATTTGTCTGACTTTATGTATTATTCTTGTGATTGGATCAGGATCAGGGTTGTATAGAAGTAGTCATCGGATCGAAATTCTTGATCAAACTGTTTGATTTATTAGTAAATCTTCTCGCTTAGTATGCTGCTGGTCCACTGATAAAAGAGATGAATTTCTGCCATAGTTGAAGGAAAATCAATCATGAGTCGGAATATTTGGATTAACCTGTCAAGCAAGCAAACAAATCATGTCTCGAAGGCAGCGTGAACTTTTTCTGCATTTAAGATGTTCACATAATAGTTTATATAGTCAATCGTCGTGAACCTTAAGATTAGGCCGTGTCCCTCGGTTAAGATTAGTGTAAATGGTCGGTAATTTTGTTTACCATCGTTGACTGGCGACCTTCGGCGGATGGCGACTACAACTGTCTCTCATAGTATGAGAGACAAGTTTATCTCACCAAGTCACAATGCTGATAGTGGGTAGAAAATATAGATTGACATGTTCAAATTTCCTTCATCTTAACCTTTAATGGCCCTGTTTAAAGAAACGGATGCTCTTAGTCAGTAACAAAGCCATCCAATCATCTCCATTAATTCTACACTGATTCTATGTTCAGAACAAAGTATGTGAAGAGATTTAGAGATTGAACATTAGGAATTTAATGTTTAATTTTATTTCACTGTTCCGTTATGGTTATACTCTTTTATATAACCAATGCTGATTGCAAACAACGTTAACAAAGGAGTAGACAGTTAACTGAAGAAACCAACTATGCTTGCGTGGCTGCATTGCAAAACTCGAAATGGAATAAAATGCAAATGTTTGCACATTAATAACCGGTGCATGTTTGCTATTAAACAAAGTAATAACTTGAGTTGATTGAACCGATTTTCCCAACGAAATCATTGTAACAGCTTAAAGGATTACTGCAATATTTTATTGGTTAAACGATGTAACACTGATCACATTAAAATGTGTTTTATCATCACATGATCATTATTGGTCAAAGGGAAGGTATATCTTTCTGATTATGTATTCAATTTGATATATCCTGTAATAATAGGAACCACCTATATTGTCTTTTCTATGTGTTCATACAGAGGTTATCTTTTGCGTTAAACTTTCAAGATCATAATTATCGTAGCAAGTTAATTGTAACCTGATTATGAGTGAAAGAAGGGTGTTCAATGGATTGAGATCATTGTGTAGCTTTTTGCTAACATCAGCTGTTTCATTGTTTAGGATCATTCATTAAACGATCAAGAACAACTCGGTTTCAAAACACCAAAAGCTAAACTTTTCTCATTATTTAACCGGTGACTTGCTTATTCCCAAGCAATATATCCACTCAGTCGACTACCTAATGTATCTAGAAGTTTCTTCGACATTCGTGAGTTGGAGATTAAATGATTCATGTGATTCAATCTCTGTTACATTTTCATAGACCAGCAACAGCCATGTATTGTCAATGCTGACTGCTTGTGTAATACGAGTGACCTTTACATAATACGAAACGCTGACTAAAGGCTTCGCTCTGCGTTCTTGTGGTTCATGTTGATACCAGTCGGAGATGTTCCTACACAGTTTTTTTTGTAGTCGAAGAGTATTTTGGAAATGTGATACTTCAATTTGGATGGAATTACTGTACCTGTAGTAGCTCTAAAAATTTGGATTTTCCCCCTGGGGTTAAACCGAAATAGTATATAAATCGTGTGACCAGAATCTTTTTAATCGGATTACGAGAAAAGAACGTTCTTCGATTTATTCAAATCAAAAGGCTACTTTTTAAATCAAAACAAGGACACAAACATAACAACAAGGAAACAAGGATAAACAAGGACACCTCTCATAAAAGTACAGTCTGCAGTGTGAACATAGATAAGAAAATCTCTTTACGTTCTCAGCTGAAGACAGTTTTATTAGGATATTCAGTTTTTTAGGTATGTTTATTTATGTAGAGTTCATGAACTAGCTAGTTCATGAACCGGAGCTAGAATGGAAATGAATTTCAACTATATTTTGTTATTTACTATTTGTTACTTTCTATTGAACCAACTCAAAAACTATTTCCCCCATTTACATTCACTTCCTTGTTATTAGGTATTATTTGTTTCTTAACCAAATTTTTAAATAAAATATTCGACGATGACAATATATTATGAGAAGTCTACTTGTCTAATATCAGTATCCAAAATCAGTGGTGTGACATTTTAGTTTCACAGCTATTACAAGTTTACCCCATATAGAGATAAACATCAATGATGTTCTGACAGAATTGTGTGACGTTTCGCAACACCACGGTTTCTCCGTTTCTGTGGTGGTTTACTAAGCCAGAGCCAGAATAGAAAGCTGCGTCTGTAATTGGCGAAATCTTCATCACAATGTTAATTAATACACAACTCCACAATGTTTTCAGACCATTTACTCTTATGTACAATCTGGGTTATAGCACAAACCAGGCATTTGGTTTTGTGTTTTGTTATTAGTTAAAATAGGTTTAGGAAAAATAGTTAGATTTTTCAGTAAATACGATTTATAATATATTTAACGCCACACTACATTATTTTGACAAACTTCACACGCAAGGATTTAGTCCAGAAAACAGCTGTTTGCCGCCAGCTTATTCAAATGGGGTTTCATGGCGTACTACTGTACTGTAATGAGTTTTACCGGACACCAATCAGCTGAATATACTGTATTTGGGTGGCAATAAGTGGTTACAAACAAAAACATAACACCTCTTAGAGGTTATGACTAGTGATTTTTAGTCCTTTAGTTGGTGGAAATATATACGGATTTGTACAGATTTAGTAGAATGGCGTAAACTATCGTACGTCCCTCGTCCAAAATGTGTGTACCGGACTCGTATGGTAATCCCGTACTCGACTTCGTCTCGCACGGGAACGACCACACTCGTCCAGTAAACACTTATTTTCAGGACTAGTAACGTAATATACTATTACAGAATAATATGTAAAATATATAATTTATAGATCAATCCGGTAAAAACATCGGATTACATGCAACATACACCACAAATAAATAAATATGATTTTTTTTTTATTAAAATTAAATTAATAGCATAATTATTTAAAAAAATAGTAAACACACATTATTAAATACTTTTCAAATCAATTAATGGTTCACAGTTTTAAGACAAATTAAATTAAATTTTTAACATAATATTATCACTTAAAACAAGTACACTAAAGGTAAGAGCATTATTAGAGATTCCTTTTCGATTAGTTTCCCCATGCAATAGTCATTATTTAACAATTTGAGAATCGGCTGATTACAGTAGTTTGTAGGTTATAGTTTAGAATGCAGTCATAATCACCGTAAGTGATGCCTATGCGGTGGGCGGGGGTGTATTATTGACCAGTATGTCACTGTGAGGGGAGGGGGGGATGGCACATGGTGTACAGAACGGTATTTCCCCGCCAGGTGCACCAACCTTCGCCGTCAGCTGGTCGCCTTCTTCTGCTTCTCGCCGTCAGCTGGTCCCATTGTTGCAACCACCCCCGCCTCCACCGCCGACCAGCCGGTGCATTTAAATGCCCGTGTACTGTAGCGCCACCGTACTGCTTTAGAAATGATTTTACTAGAGTCTCCAGCATTTAAATACTGTATCACGTTCACTTTAAACTGGCTTATTCTGATTACTTAAAACAAATAAATATATGTTCAATAAATTATGTATTCACTCAACAACTATTTTTAACATTTCAATTTATGTAAAAAATCTAATCAAACATACAGTGGTTTGAATTTATATTTTCAAACATTGTAAATTGCAAATCTATTGTTTGTTAATAACCAAAAACAAACTGTTAATTTTCATCGCGTTCAATAAAAACCGATTGCAAAATCAAGCCAGTAATCAATTGGAAAGTCCAACAAAAGTTATTAATTTACTGGCGGCAAATAATTACAGTAATGCCATAATTGATTCCAATGTATTGGTCATGTATCAGACTGAATTAGCACTTTTGTATTAAAATGTATTCATTAAATTCTGAATACTAATTAACATATTTTAAATGTAAACTACGGAAAGTAGTAGTATATTCGCCTAACTCTTGAAACAATAGTTATTACTTTTTGTAGTATTAACTTGAATTATGCCCGATTACTCTTGTCCTTAAATAATAAATACTGGCAAAATTTGCGTAAATGTTTCATCCGTCCAAAATTCCCTAATATTACATTAGGGTGATTTTCGTTACACCTAATAGTATAACTTTTTATAAATTCGACACTTTTTTCAAGTATAAAGTAGCTAGGAGAGAAAATTTAACTACATTATGGTTAGTGTGTGATTTTAGGTGCAAATGATTAATCTAAGCGACAATGGGAAATCTATTCAAGAAATTAAATATGTGAACAGAATAACTTTTAAAATTGTTAAGTGATTTTTCGATATTACCGCTTTAAGCTGTGAATGATTATCAATTTCAGCTATAGCTGTGAGCGATTGTAAACCATGCTGTGAACGGTGTGAGTGTTTACCGATACTATCGATATTAGCTAGCGATTATCGACTATCGCGATTCTCGACACTGTCAGGTATCCAATCGACTTGGCTCCGCTGCGCTATTGATCCACTCCGCATTCCACAGTCACAAGCCACGTGCCAAAACATTTCGTCTCTTCCTTCAACTGAGTGTTGAGTGTTGATTTAGTAACATTAATTACTACATCTCTTGACAAGTTAAAATAAATGTATCTAGCAGCGACTGTGTATGAAAAACAAGTCTTTTGTTTGAAATAGTTTTGCATTTTAATATGAACTAAATACTTGTAAATGGACACTCCATTAATATATTGGGTGGATTGGAATATTCTACGCATTGTTTGAAATATTATTTTGGGGAAATGTGTTATTGCTTGGGATTCGAAAGGGATTTTGTGGTAAATTTACAATCATTAGATATAAAAAAGAAAACACTGATTGTTTTATTGTGAAGACATTAGGTACTATTTAAAGTTCAAACTCAGCAAAGCTAGCATCACCAATCAAAAAGTTTATGTAAACAAATCCTCATCTCCACAAAACGAGAAATGACGAAACAGGATTTGTTCCGGAACAGGACTCGTTCATTCGCAAATTCTGGTGGACAGGTCTTTAATTAAATTTACTATAATCATGTAACAATCTATTAATATCAGTAAAGCAATGTGGTAGGTAAAATAATTATCGTGGCCATATTAGCGTCTAAAGAGTAGGTACAGTAAGAGTCGACACTTTTCAATTAAAATCATCGCACATCAATCAATAGCACAGTTGTCAATGCAAAATATAGCATGTTTAGGTCAAAGCATCCGTAAGAATCTCTGGCAATCCTATTTTTCTTAAATTAAAATGCTGTCTTAACAAGGAACCATACCACTATTGACCTCGGTCTACTTGCACTACAAATAGTCTTAGCTGTAATCATCTGGGTGCAACAAATAAAAAAAATTTAGATGTTCACATGGGTTTGCATTAATTGCGCCCAGCCTTCAAAGGGTCCCAAAAAATGTTCCTTAGTTGCGCCAAGCTCAAGCCAGGTGTTTTTCATCTTAGGTCAATTCGGTTAGTTACGTTTTTTTTGCGTGGTTTGCTCTATGTTTGTGTTGGTGTGTTGTTTGTTTATTTATTGTTGTTTGTTTGTTGCAGTTGGGCATCATCTATCGCGACATCAAGCTAGAGAACATCCTTCTGGACTCCTCAGGACATATTGTACTCACGGACTTCGGCCTCAGCAAGGAGTTCCTGCCTCACGAGAAGGTAACGAGTTGTTTTAAGCCTTATCAAATTATCTACTTAAATTCCTGTGCTGTTTACTTAAACCATAGACTAACCAACACAAGTATACTTCTCATCCAATTGTAAATTTTAAAGCTCGTTTTTCGTGTCTATTTCATGTCTGGTGACACTGATCGCAAGTGTCGACTAAATTTTGTTTCTATTATTTTAGGGCTAATCTCACGATTGGTGCTTTACTGTTAGGTTTTTCTACCTCTGTTTCTTTTCCTTGTATTGTTTGATCGGCACATACGCAAATAATGCTGAACGAATGAGCTTAAATTTCACACAAAGGTAGATCAAGAATTAAACCAACGCACATGTCCGTTCATGTCTTAAAAACCTCCCTCGTGTGCAATGTGTACACAATGGAGCTTGCGGAAGTAAATATTGATCGGTCTGAGTGTTTATATTTCGATAAAGTTATTCATTTTATTCTGCCTCACAGCTGTCTGATATGAACCATTAATTTTGGAAAACTATAAGTGGTTGAATATTTTCACAATCAAATGTGGATGTTTCCTGTTGTTACAGTATATTCAAATAACTTGACGATTCTCCGAGTAAAAAACTAATACAATATTTACGTCATCTTTTTCCACTGCGTGTTCATATTCTACATTTACATCTTTATCGGTTTTAACCAGTGTTTCGACGGATTCTTCCTAAACAAAGTGGCCAAAGATGATGTTTGTTTTGTAACAGAAAGATAGATGTAACGACGGTGTCAAGAACCCCACGTGGCAACGGTCGTTTCTCTTTGTCCAGTCACAAACAAACCTATTAGACTTGCTATCACTCTAGGCCTAAATCACTTCCTATAATTTACGTGTTTCCCGACGTCTTCGACCTTAGAGACACGTGTTGTTGACATACCTTAATTGCATTTGTAATTCGAATGAAATCAAAATGATCAATCTTATTGTTGTCTGTAATGCAAATTTGTAAAAGGTAGCTTGTTATATTTTACCAGAAATGTATGTTTTTATTTTTTCTGTTTCAGGATCAGCGGGCTTATTCCTTCTGCGGCACCATAGAGTACATGGCGCCTGAAGTAGTTCATGGAGGAAGTACCGGACATGATATCGTAAGTTTTTTTGTTGTGTCTTTTATGTTGCTTCTGATCCCATCCAACTAGCATTATTTTAGCTATTATTTGTGGACATTCTGAGATTAAAAACATTTGTCCTATTATTTGTGAAGATTCTTTGGATTATAAGCCAGGATTGGAACTGTTCAAGGACTCTGGTTTTGTTTACCATTGCAAATTATAATTAGCTAGTTTAGAGAGCTAATTCTATAAAAACTCTTTCTATAACAATTCTATAAAGCTAATTCTATAAAACTGTCTGGGCAGCTGAGTGGTTATAGTGCTTGCCTTCAATCTGAAGATCGCCGGTTCGATTTCATGCGAAATCGTTTCCAGGACCAGATGCAATTTGTCATCTGGATTTAAATTGATTATTCTTTCAAAAGATCGACTTTAAATAGTAACAAGTTCAAAGTTTGGACCGTTCCCTTACAAAAAAAAACTTTAAAAAGGTCAAAAGCGTAGACACACACTTACACGAAAAATAGGTTTGCAACTGTCGAATTTGAAAAGCAATCTTACATCCTTCTGATCGAAGTCTAACAAAATTATGACTGATAATAATAATTAAGATGTATAATTGAAATTTGAATCTTTTATGGGAGCTAGGAGTAAAAAAGTACAACTGTCTGCTAAATAATTGGCTTTGTGTATTAATAATCACAATGTTAGTTGCACATCATGTTATTGTTACGTAACAAAAACTTTCTTTTAGTTTAAGGTTCATTGTCGTATTATGCCTTGTGCGAGGTTTCCTAGATATTTAATCATTGAAACCTCAATTATGTTTAGTTTAGACTCTACAATTGCTAATTAGGAATCGTATTTAATATATGTAAGTTTGTAAAATTGAATGATTAAGATCATCTCCTTAAAACGATGAGGTTAGTCTGAACGTTTTACAATGCAAGTTGGACGTAACAAATGTAGGACAGGGGTGGTCGTCTGGACTTTGTAAATGAGGGAAGGGGTTGAAATGGAGCACACCTCGACCTACTTAATAATAACCCCCCCCCCCGCCCCTGCTCCGCTACACCGTCCAACATAAACAAAGAGTAACCTCAAATCTTTGTGCTGCTGTAATTTAACTTAGTATTGAATCCACTCAACTCTCGTCAAGGATCGTAAACTGCTTTACAAGCTCAAATTAAAATCTACGCGAACTGCTGGTTACAATTTTTTCCAACATTTAACATTTCAATTTTCATTATAATTCACACAACTAAAATCTCAACATTGATTCCAGGTTTTACTAATGTTTTTTTAATCATATCGATACTGCACAATAATTAATTGTGTCCTTATTTTATCATTGTTAGATGACTAGTGAATATATCGTCTATTCGTCTGGAACACTCTCCCTCTCACTCGGTCTGAGCTGTTTGCGTAATGTTGTGTCCCAAGTGGGACACGGATCTGGGTTAGCGGGTCGAGCGTCGCACAGCGGAGTAGCGAACACGCGCACATCGATACAACAGGCAGCGCATCTTCAAACTGTCACTGCCACCGCCTACATGAGCGCATCTTCTGTTGATATCGACATGGACGCATCTACAAACTGTCACTGCCTACATGAGCGCATCTACAAACTGTCACTGCCACCGCCTACATGAGCGCATCTTCTGTTGATATCGACATGGACGCATCTACAAACTGTCACTGCCTACATGAGCGCATCTTCAAACTGTCACTGCCACCGCCACCGCCTACATGAGCGCACATTTTGTTGATATCGACATGGACGCATCTACAAACTGTCACTACCTACATGAGCATCTACAAACTATCACTACCTACATGAGCGCATCTTCAAACTGTCACTGCCACCGCCTACATGAGCGCATCTTCAAACTGTCACTGCCACCGCCTACATGAGCGCATCTTCTGTTGATATCGACATGGACGCATCTACAAACTGTCACTGCCTACATGAGCGCATCTACAAACTGTCACTGCCACCGCCTACATGAGCGCATCTTCTGTTGATATCGACATGGACGCATCTACAAACTGTCACTGCCTACATGAGCGCATCTACAAACTGTCACTGCCACCGCCTACATGAGCGCATCTTCAAACTGTCACTTCCACCGCCACCGCCTACATGAGCGCACATTTTGTTGATATCGACATGGACGCATCTACAAACTGTCACTACCTACATGAGCATCTACAAACTATCACTACCTACATGAGCGCATCTACAAACTGTCACTGCCTAACCTGACTTGATATTTCCTTATTTGTATAGATAAAGTTCATGATTTGCATATTACAATAAACTTGACTATCTCTAAGACCCCCTCTCTTATTCCTAATCAGTACTACAACCATACCTACCCTACTGAATACATAAGATACATTGCACTTATTCGTTTTCGCAATGTCAATAATGCCGGCTTAACCACAATAAGCTGTAAATCCCACACCTTCACTTCGAAAATAGCCATCATTGTAGCCCGAAGGTCCGAAGAATGGCACGTCTTGAAAGAAACTAAATCGGCAGTTACAACATGACCGAAGTTTCCACCATTCCTTTATGGACCGCATCCCACATCGCTTGTGTAACGCATTCACGCTTATCGGACTAGTCTTCTGGCGTAACGCGTAACGCACTCTTTCTCACATTATCCACGGTGGTAAGCTTTCCGTAAACCTTATCATCGCATGCTTTACTGCAGGACACGAATGTAATGCTGATGGAAAGGAGACGTTTGATTCGCAAAAGTGGAATTTGATTGGTTGAGATCTCAAAATACCTAAATCTCCAAGGGTTACGGGACGGTGGAATTGATCTTTTCCAACTATACAGTATAGCGACATTTTCCTGATAGGAACACCGAATAATATTGATGAGTCGCTCATAATGAAATGAAATTACAGCTCCGTTTTATTATTCCCAAGGAAAGTTAAAGATTTAATAGTTTTAAAAATTCAAAGTTACCAGTTTCCAACAGACTTTTCCCTATTTTAGATTGTCTACGTTTAGTTAGTAAAATATGACTTCGTAGTCTAATCGGCTGGTAGAAAAAAGAGGGCTTAGATGGAAAAAGGTTGGAAGATAATGAAACTTGTGGATGTTGTTCAAAATTTTTTAGCTTTTCCCTCCATTACTCTTTTCCCATACTTCCTACCGAAGAAGCTACCTTACACTTGTTGTAGAGCGTTACATCTCCTACACTACTGTTCAAACATGTCTGTACGTTAATTTGTTACCGAGAAATAGTTTTCCTAAGGAAAGTTTTGACAATTCAAAGTTGCCCATTTCCAACAGACTTTTCCCTATTTTACATTTTCTACGCTTAGTTAATCAAACATGACTTTGCTCGGCTTGCAAGTTTTTTTTAACTGCTACAAAACTGATTTGAAGCACTCATGTTGGTCGAGTGTTGAGTGTCTCTTTCGCAAACCTAGGCCAATCTACAGGCGAGTTGCCAGGACTGCCTGTGTCACCCATGACTCAGAGAGTTACTTATCAGCCCTATTTGGCTGCCATCCTCCCAGTCTGCTCGCAGCCTTGACACCTCATGTTATAAGACTTATAGACTTCTGGTCGATCTCCCTTTTGTTCATTCCCACCACAGAACCCATCAAACATCAAGCGCCGCGATGACTAACCACTAACCGTGATGAGCTTACGTCCTTGACCCAATCATTTGCGATTTATTCTCCTAAGGTCGAAGATTCTTAATTAGAAAATTACGAAGTATTTTCCATCATAAATGATTGAAGTTTATACTGGTTGAATGGTTCAGCGTAAAACTTTTATTGGGTAAAAAGTGAGGTAATAAACTTTTGCATTATCAAAGCAGGTTGCCTGCAAGAACTGATTATTGTGGGATATTGAGGTTAAAACGTAGGATAATGAGTCTATATGTAGCTGATTGGGCCTAAATTAAAAGGTTGTCCAAAGGAACAGCTGATCTTAGTCAGTAGCAAAGCTACACAGAATCATCGCACTCCATATACTCATCTTGTATTTCATGTTAAGGTTTAAATGCGCACCTAGGAGTCCGTTGGCATCTCTAAGAAGTGAAGCTACGAATTTCCGAGTGGGTTTCAAACCGATCAAACACTTTCCGTAGTTTGATCCCTACCAGCTGATTCTCTATAACTCTGTTGCCAAGAGAAGTGATAACCGACTACAATGCTAGATGCAGCCGAGCGCGACACGCAAGTAGGGCGAGAGAAATTGCAACTTTCACTGGCGTTGTAGAGACGGTGGGCTATCGCGCGGCCGCGACTGATCTGGCGATTAGATGGGGTTGGGGCTCTGCAGATAATCTGGACGCCGAGTACCCGAGTACCTTGGGCGTGTCATGACTAAACCCCATGACATCGTCCGGCAACGATACAAAGTTAGTTATGCAGTTTGAACGACCGCGATAGTTAACAGTAGTTGTTTGATCAAAGTTGTTGTGTTTAAATATTTATTTGTCCTTAGTTGTAGGTCTAGTTCTACCTACCTTGCCTTAATAAATTACGCAATCGTGTGTCCAGGGAGGGAAGGATGTTTTAAAATACTTAGGTACTGTAAGGGGCTTACACTTATCCTCTTATACCACCGTTGTACAGTTGTAGGTCTGAAAGTGTCTTTGGATGTTACAAAACATTAATCCATAGTCCCTACACTAAGTTGCTTAAATTTTCGTTGAAATTGTACCCCATAGTTTCTGCCCTCGGCTACTGAAATCTGAGGAAGTTCGTTAAAAAGTTATAACCCATAGCATTGAATGTTAAACCTTATTGTTTAGGCTACATGACAAGTAAAAAGTCAAGGCTACTGAAAACGCAAACAAAATAGAAAGAAAGAACAGTTGTAGTGTGTTGTTTATTCATTTGAACATAGTTTCTGTCGTCGCTGCTAAACGTCGTGTGTGCTAATCGGCTGAACGCTGAGGAAGTTCCGTCAGCTGGAGGTCAGGTCAGGCGGGCTGCATAGCAAGGTTTGGTGAAGGCCGAAGTGTATTGGTGTCAAGGTGTATAAACAGCCGATCCACTGCCTCCACTCTCCACCATTGCCACTGCCCACATACTTTCACATGTCCAAATATTGTTGACGCACACACATCATATACTGTAGTACTGATTACCTTCGCTCCTTACTCTATGCGCGTCGTCTGCTCTCCCGCGTTTTCTCAGCTGTTTAACTAACCTACGAAATCACGGCAACTCAAGGTCGCATGCGGCAATCTTGTTTGCTAGAGGATGAAATTGGCCTTGTACCCGATTTAGTGGAATTATTTCACTACAAATATCTGTGCTTTTGGCAAAAAATAATCGTGGTGAATTGAAAAATAAAATGTGTGGGTCAGAATCGGGTTAGCTATACAAATTTAAATGAGAACTGGGCCAGTTTAGTTTGAATTAGGATAATTGTTTCGTTTTTATAGTCTATTATTAAAATGGATTTAATTTCCTACTCGAAATAGCATTCTATATCATTGATACAACAATGCAAACCTGATTCAACTTAAACTGACCAATTTTTATTTAAACGAGTTGGGAGCTATAAACTAACACATTTCGACAAACTCTGTAAAGTCACAATCCATCAAAACTAAAGATAATAGCAAGTTGTAAACCAGTATTATAGCTATGTAAAATCTACAGAAAGCTTATACAGAACTTATTTTCATATATATATATATATATATATATATATATATATATATATCTGAACAAGAAAAATAACACACGTTGGATCGTAGTCCTACTCCATTACCTATCTTGTTTGAACAATTTTCATTGTGATACACACAACACAGATTTAGGTATATGAATTAAATAACTGCGACATTGCACATGTGCACGTGCATACAAACAGGATTGAAAGTAATTTTCTGAAATCAAACAAATGTAGATATTACGTGATTTAGACATGACACTGTCTGTCAACAAACAGTTGTGCGTCATACAACATCACACACAGTTGCTGCCAATGGCAGATCTTGTGTATTTAAACAACATTTAGGTAACACCCTCCTCAAATTTATCAATTTCACAATGTCGAGTTTAGGATGAAAGATTGTTTCTCTCACTGGGTGAAAATATTGTTTTAGCTTTACTCTTCCCTTAAAATGACTTTGTATCTCAATTTTTAAATGTTGATGATAATGCAAGGTTATTCTATTATAGCAGTATAGTAATATTTTGTTCTTTTAAAATGATATATGAACTAGTTATTTGAAGGAGTCCTAGCTCATACATGGTCTGAATTGAATGTATTTATTTTAGATGGGTACACTATTTAGGGGCTAAACCTGACTTTAAATTAAATAGTGCAGTGGATAAGTAAGATGAATCTTAGCCTAACTGACTAAGACAATATGATTCTTTAGCTAGAGTTCTTATAATTTAAAATCTAACAATCATTGAACATAGGTAGCCAATGGGGGGGAGGTCTTAGTCTTCAAGATTTTCTGGACATCTAATCACATTATTTGTGTTTTTGCCGTATCAAAATAATAGTTAGAATGTATATTTTTCATTAATATCTAGCAATTGTTCTATATCATTAAATCCACCAATTACGGACACATTAGCTGGAACACCCCTCTCCCTAACAAAAAAAAAAAAAAAAACAAACTAGTCTCTTGTTTTGGAACTATTTTAGCTTAAAACTATTATCTATATCAAACTAGTGACTTTTTCCTGTATGCAAGTACTATAACCACTCAGCTACTTTTGGCTTGTTTTAGTCCACTCTTCTAAAACCAATAAAGTTTAAATAAATTTTATGTTTTAACACACTCGTAGTATGATTTTATGATTTGTAGTATGACGTAATATTTACGTTGTGTATTTTACAGGCGGTAGATTGGTGGAGTGTAGGTGTTTTAACCTACGAGCTGCTCACGGGAGCTTCGCCTTTCACTGTGGAAGGAGAGAAGAACACTCAGCAGGACATATCCAGGTCAGTCTAAACCTTCTAATCGTAAATCTCTTTAACAGATTAAAGCTCCATTTACTCGCAAAAGAGAAAAATGCTAATTGTTGAGAAAACCTTTCTCGCATGAATTTAAGTTCATGTTTCCTTTGTCTACGTTCTTAGGGTTACATTAGAGAAATATATACACCAGGTATTGTTCTTTTCCTCCCTGACGTTAAATAAAACCAATATACAATCTTAGGTAAAAATACAGTTAATCAGCACAACCACTCCATCAGTAACCAATTTCTAACTACAACTAATTTTGTAGAAATATATAACTGCAAATTTTGGTAGATAAAGAAAAGAAATATTTTTTCCAAATTTCATATTAAAAATATTGCTTAAGTTGTGTGCTGAAAGAATCTAAATTATACTACTGCAGACTTTTGTGAGGCCCCTCAGTTATTCTGTTATCCTACAACGATTGATTAATCAAATATTACCATTCAGACTTGATGCACATTAAAATCTTATCCTATTACAACAGTTGATTTCTTATATTTCTTATAATTTTGGTTAAACACCTACTTACATACTCTTGATAAAACCAGAACTATCAAAACTACTTGATATGGCCAAAATTAGTAAATGTACAACTTTGCTGTTTTTGTTGTAGACGTATCATGAAGACGCAGCCACCCATTCCGCAATACCTCTCGGCTGATGTCGCAGACTTCATATCCAAGTTGTTAGTCAAAGATCCGCGTCAAAGATTGGGTGGAGGGGAAGACGACGCCGAAGAAGTCAAGCGGCATCCGTTCTTCAAGGTGGGTGAATAGTTGTAGGTCTACATAAGATATTTTATACTTTTTCCCAGGTAAAGGAAACCCCCCACAAAGCTTTGCTTTGAAAAAAATTATGCTTAGAAAAAATATTTTCGATTTGCTCAAGTAATACAGTAGTCGCAAGTTGAGTAGGTCTAAGCTTCGCTTTGGTTTTTTTTTTCAGAAGTTCAACTCTAAAAATAGCTTCTCGGAATCAAATTTTAATTTTTACTGTCAGTGTGGCTAGACAAGAAGTTTTTTTATAAATATAAAACAAAGCTACACAGATTATTCCACTTTACTCCAGTCTCATCCTGTATTCATCTGATTTTAACCCACACAAGTGACACCATTTCAAAGCAAGAGTGGTCTAAGTACAAAATCAAATTACTTAAAGTTTTCTAAATTTTTTTTAGGACATTGATTGGGACAAGTTAGCAAGAAAAGAAGTGCCAGCCCCTCTTGTGCCCAAAATCGCAAATGAATTAGACGTTAGCAATTTCGCCGAAGAGTTCACCAAAATGACACCAGCTGATTCACCTGCTGTGGTTCCTCCTAATTATGATAAGATATTTAAGGTAAGTCAATAGTTTTCAATAACTTTCTTGCATTTTGTATTTTTTTTAAATGTATGTTTTAGTTTATGGTTAAAAGAGAACGATTTGCTCATGTTCTCTAACTTACTACTAGAAAGTAATCATGGATAGAACCAACTATTTTATTCTCATGTTAAACTTTTTGCCAATTTTAGAACAAACGTAGCTGGGTTGAGTTTCCGAGAGATTGTGGTTAGGTAAATTATTGATTCTGTTCTATACACCAAGCTAAACTGGACGGTTAAATTATTGTGAACTTGTGCATCTTTTTATTTTATCAACTGACCGAACCAATAGAGCAAGTAGACGCTTGTATTGGCTCACTGTGTTGGTGCCTCATTAGACTACGTTCTATTTGAACGAAAAGAAAATAGTTACAGCTTCATATGAATGGGGTGTCTACCATTGATATCTTATAATAATGACATGGCTTAGCTGTAATCTATAGTAATTTAATTGAACTATTGGGTAGAAAAAGGTTTTAGGTATCCATAGCTTACTACAATTTTCTGTGGAATTTTTGTTGTTTATTGACTTGCAAATTACATCATTTTATTAAACACAAGTAGTACTCAATGGTTAATGTTGATTATATTTTTGTTTCAGGGATATTCTTATGTTGCTCCTTCAGTTTTATTCACAGACAATGTCATCAGCAGTGAAATTTTCCGTCCAAATGACAAACGGCCAACGACAAATAACATCATAGCCTGTAAATTCAAGGTATGTATCTTTAAAGGAAATTTATTTTTGAAAGAAAACTTTTATTTGACAATTCATTCTAACTTTTGACTATGGTCAAATCTAGTTATCTATTTTTATGTTATCTCAGGTTCAAGAATTTGAATTATAAAGCGGTTATTTTCTTATGTTATTGCACACTCTCTTCTACATTACCCTACATTAACTTATTTAAACTAGGCCAAAATACTCTTATTAACTAGGCCAAAGCTTATTTTTTTTTTGTATTTTACATTTTATCATGTTAGAATATTTTATTATTATCCATGTATCTACTATCAATGGACAAATATGTAAAATCATCCCTATTGTTACAGAACTCTGCGTTTTTCCAAAACTACAACATCAACCTAGAGCGGGATGGTCTATTGGGCGACGGAAGCTTCTCGATTTGTCGCCGTTGCACAGAAAAAACAACTGGGCACCAGTATGCAGTCAAAATCGTCAGCCGAAAGATCGACTGCAAACAAGAGATTAACCTGCTACGAGCCTGTCAAGGGCATCCGAACATTGTCAACCTCCACGAGGTCTACTATGATGAGGTAAGTTGTTCCTAGAGTGAAACTATGTAACTAAATAATTACCGTTTTTAGATAAGTCTGCTATCATAATAAAAACTGTTGTGCCCTTAGTAAGAATTTTTGATCCAACTCATGTAAACTTTCTTGATCACTTCTTAACTTTTCTAAGATGGAGACATATTTAAGGTGTTTTTAAATGTACTATTGTCAGAATGAGAGATTTAATAAGAAAATTTAAATCTTTAGTAGAATGTAACCTAGTAATTTTGAAGTGTAGCAACAGTGTAACATATAGTAAAAAATTACACAAATATCTTTACTTTCTCCAGGTCCACACCTATCTGGTCCTAGAGTTGCTGCGAGGTGGGGAGCTCCTTGAGAGAATCAGACGCAAAGATCGCTTCACCGAGACGGAGGCAAGTCGCATCATGAAGCAACTTGTTCGAGCGGTCAGCTTCATGCACGAACGCGGCGTTGTTCATCGAGATCTTAAGCCTGAAGTAAGTGAATAAGATTTCTTTCAATTATTACATTCGTGGGTTACATAGCTTGGTTAATAATGGATGTAGTACTGACTCGTTTGTGGGATTAGTCATTGATTATAAATACGGTAGATGCAAAACCTGAATCATCTGTGTAGTGAAGCAGCAGTCCTAGTCCGCAAGAGGCCAATACTAATAAGTACGAGTTTGTGCTGCACCTTGAAAGAACTACTTTTTGTTGACATTTTTTGTTTGAGGTGCAGAAAACTACTATAATATGTTTTACCCTGAGCATGTGGAGGATTTGGGAAGCAAGCTAGTCTAGTTCTAAAGCACAGGACTTTGGTCCCCAAGATCTCGGGTTCGAATCCCGCCTACCACCTATAGGTTTTAACAATGCCACAACCCTTAAGGTCCAGTCTGAAGTTAGAAGACCAGTTAGACAGTCTGAAGTGGGCTAGAACCTAGTTTCTTTATTACTAGTGCTGCAATTTGTTCAGATGGGAACAGTAACAATATGCTTTATTATTGCTATGTTGTGAATCGTTTTGGTCATGTATTTTCCTATACAACTGGCTGCCTAGAAATAGTTTGGCTCAATAAAGTAAAAATAAAGAGATTCTAATCAGTGGTTTGTTCAACAGAACATGCTTTTCACCGATGAAAGTCCAAACTCCACCATCAAGATTGTGGACTTTGGGTTTGCACAACTGAAGAAGGAAGGTGACTCTCTGCACACTCCTTGCTTCACGCTACACTACGCAGCACCTGAAGTCCTCAACCAAGCTGCGGACGGCTACGACGAGAACTGTGATTTGTGGAGTCTGGGAGTGATTCTGGTGAGTATACTGGAGAAAGCTGATGTTCTAGTAGAAGTTTTAACTTTTATTGTTGAAAGTCACCAGTTTTTTTATTAAAATGGACAGTATTATGCTATTATTTATGCCATCATATACCATATTCTGCGTTAAAAAAGAACAAAAGACATATTTTAAGGTTACTGGTTCAATCCCTAGATTGATTTGTTAGGTTTATCATTTGTTATTGCATTTTCAATTAATATATGACATTTAGCGTAAAGTTGTTGTTATACAGTATAGTAACAAGACCAGGGTTCTACTGGTCCCTTAGGCTTATAACATGCCAATAGTGTAGAAAAACGCAAATAATACAAATAAAATAAAATAGTGTCTATGACAATGTATCACCAAATTACACCTATTATTCATGACCTAAAACTCAAACAAATTTTGAGACGCTAAGTTAACAGTCTTAAATTTTTTTGTCATTTTAATTTTACGACTTTCTTTTGAAGCCCACTTGTAGGGGCAAAGTGTGAAAGCTGTGAACTTGTTATGCGCTGTCCACTTGGAAAACTATTTTGGGTTAAGTTGATTGTGTATCCAATTTTCCACGTTTAACGCTTGTTGTTTTCGTACAGTACACAATGTTGAGTGGTCGAGCTCCATTCCACGCCAGGTCTCGAGACGAGAGTCCGACAGCAGTCATCGCTAGGATCAAAGCAGGAGAGTTTGATTTCCTCGCGGAGGCTTGGAGTTCTGTGTCCCATGAAGCGAAGACACTCACCAAAGGTATGCTGCGACTTCAATTTGTAATTTCCTAATCAGTGAGGTTTCTTTTAAGTTTGAAAATCTTAATATCATCCATTTACAGCAACAAACATGATACTGTACCCAATCAATGCTAGAGACTACAAGTAAATCACATTTATTTGTGTTAAAATAAAATTCACTTAACGTCAGATTTTAGTAAACATTGTGTATGGGTAAATATACACAACATCTTGCTGGCATATTTATAATTGAACTAACAAGAGTTGTATCTGAACAACCTAAGTAAAAATCTCCTCACACCACAAAAAGATTATATATACTTATTTACAGAAGTTTTCTTAAGGTTGCCAAATTTGTGAATCGTGCGTTCTGGCGATGACAAACATCTTAAGATATGGCTGTACAAAATACAAACCAAGTGCTGAGGGTGAGGGAAGGGTTCAAGTACGTAACTAAATGTTTGTTGTTGTAGGACTGTTGACTGTGGACCCGCGTCGGAGGTTGCGCATGACATCACTGCTGGCTAACCCCTGGGTACAAGGCTGTGATGTTTCCGCTACACCACTGATGACTCCCGACGTTCTCACAGGGTCGACCAACAGATCAGCTGAGCTCGGAGTGAAACATGCCTTCAACGCGTTCCATCAAGCTCATCGGGAAGGCTTCCGACTACAGGTGTGTTCTGCAATATCTCTCGACTTGGAGCTGTGCCAACTCATCAGACAATTCAAAACTTCTTATTTGATAGAGCCCTAGATATTTAAATTACAATCACTTTGGTATTTGAATAAATGTTTTAGAAAGGTAAATAACTCTTCAGCGGTTGTTTGAATTCTACATTGCTATTATGGTGGGGAAATCCAAAATGGTCATCACCTCCAAGGACTCTTATCCCATCAACTTGGGAAATTTTCAAACGATTTCTTTGTAAATGTAACTTTTGTCCATATTAAACTAAAATAAAGTAATAAAACATTGTGTACCTTATTATGCAAAATATGCAAACAGGTATATGCAACAGGTATTGTGTGAAAACCTAATTTAACTCTCAACTTCCTTCAAATCACTAGAAAAATTCAATGAGGGAAAAACCATCACACATTTGTTTCCAATGTACACATTGTTTATATTCATGCAATTAAGCATAATTCTTGGTTAGTTACATTTTGGATTTAATATATGAGCCATAATAAAATTGTGTCTAGTCATGATTACTAAAAATTCAATAACTATTACAGGATGTCTTCAACGCAAAACTTGCTCAACGAAGGAGGTTAAAGAAAAAGTCATCAAATGATATTCGAAGCTGCTCAACATCAAGTAGTTTCTCCAGTTCTAGCTCCTCAGGTAACACATTCATTAGATCTAGCCCTTAGAGTGCCAGGCGAGAAAATAAAAGTAACGCTCAAAAAATGCCGATGATTTTTCCCGAAGGTCGCGCTAAAAATGCCGAGCGCGATCTGGCGATTTTTTAGGTTAAAATTTCATAAAAATCAAATTTTTGATATTTCGACCAACGAAAATCGATGTATCACATCTAGTAACTTTCGACTCAATGTTAATATATGGGTTAAAAGAATCCGAGTATCCATTCGGTTGTTATGACAACTGTTCGATCATTACGAAACGTCCGGTCAGCCGGACGTTGGCACTTTTGGCTCGTTCTAAAAATGTCCGGTCGGCCGGACGTCGGCACTTTTGGCTCGTTTTAAAAACGTCCGGTTCCCCGGACGTTGGCACTCAAAGGGTTAAAGACAAAGTGGTTTTGGTTCAACTTATAAACACGCAATAACAGTTCTGATTAATCTGTCAATTCTTTACCTGAAAATATATTTCAGATTTTCATTTTGATACTAATAATCCACTATCTTATATCATCGTACAGGTTTCATCATCAATTTGTGTTAGATAACAAAGATTTTACTGTAATTTTTTGAAAATTAAGTTTGGTTGACTTACTCAAGTCTTATGTTCTCAGGTCACTCATCCATCCAGACGCCCATGAGTGGAACGTCTCCAGTCAAACGGTCGGCCACCGCTCCCAAGTCTGATGTGTTCAACTTCGGAGAGGAAAGAGTACACGAGTACCTCTCCAGTCTTTCTTCGTCCTCATCTGAGAACAGCCACATCTTGGCTCACTTACCAAAGAAACAAAAACTCATTCCATTCCCCGAGTGCAAAGTGAAAAGTGTTCCCGACAGCTTGTGTGCCGGTCCTAGTTGTTCACAAAAGACAGAACTCATAGACTGCCGACTCAGCCAGGCAGAGTTCACCGATTTGGAAGTTGGCAGCTACGAACAGGTTTCCGACAGGCTGCCATCAGTCAGTGATGTAGTTCTGGAAGACGGAGTGCGGGAAGGCCCATTGACTCGGTCTAAAAAGAGAAAACTCGAGTCTGAACCTTCAACACCGTCCCCGGAAGCCAAGAAGACAAGAAAAGACAAAATCAAAACCAAAGGTAGCAGACATCGCAAGCACCACCATCGGTCGAAACACCACAAACACCGAGTAGAGAAGTGTCCCGACGTCATCACCATCGATTAATTATTACTTAAGTTAGAACGAATTCGAGTTATTGGGTCCTTTCAGACATTTCAACCGTTTTGATACAGTAACAATTTTGGAAAACAAAACGAATCAGATAAAAGACAAAATACGGTAAATGATTTTAGTCCTTAAATGCCAACCAATGCAAGGGGGTTAAATTTTAGTGAATATTTTGGATCTGGTGCTTAGACGAATAACAGAAGGACACAACTCAAAGGTTGTGATCGACTTGAGGAAGGATAGTCACGTAAATGCTTAGTCACTAGTTGTTTAGAACTCGCAATTATCAGGGAATGTGTTGTGCATACTTTGTATTAGAGAATAAAACTACCATTGTTATTTTATTTAAAAGTATTTTATTTTTTGTTTTAAGATTGTTTGCATTTAGTTTTTATTGTAGTGTGCATGATTACCACTGAAATGGCTTGGTTCATTTGTGGGACAGGATATGTAACTCTACAATAATTGTTTATTTTAAACTATTATTGTAAACGATAGATTATATAAGTTTAGATGAATTATATTTTTGTATCAGTTAAATTTTTGATTTTCTTGTTTATATGAAGTACAATTTTTTGTATTAAATACTTACGTTTTACTTCCAATGTGGTATTTTAACTTGTTTCATGCAACTACTTTATATAAAAGTGCCTTTTTACAATTGGTATACAACTTGTTACAGTTAAATTTGATTTTTTCAGATCGTTGAAGTTTGTTATTTTGTTTACAGATTTCTAAGTTACCATCTTTATGAGGATATGTAAATTGTTTTCAATATATTTAAATGAAGTTTTCACTTTTGTAAGCCGATGTGATAGTAAATCTTACGACCCTAGGCTAGCTCTGTGTTGGCCGTGCACTGTTCTCAATCAATGTAGAATAAGTCTAAACAGCATTGTTAGCCAAACTGAGACAAATTTTGATCAAGTAAGGGAAAGTTAACAAAAGTTGAACTAAACAGATTTTTCTAATAACAGGAAAACTTGTGCTTAACCATCTCTGCTTTCCTCTTATTTGATAAAATCATGAATGAAATACTTGAATTAAATAGGGATGTAAATGTAAAGAAATAATTTACGATAAAAAATATGTAACTTATACCTTTAAGTGTGCAAGTTTATAACTTTTTATGAAATCTAAAAAATTGTGAAATTGTAGAACAATATTTATGCTCTAATGAGTTTGGTGTCAAAACACAAGATGGACTTAGCTGTAGTTTAAAACCAGTAAATCATGGCAGGGACCATGAATGAAAGTAAAGTGCCTAGAAGTGAATTGAAATCAAAGTGCAAAGATAAAACCAAAGCTCAGTAGCCACACTAACTCGACACATCCTGGGAAATAAGACACCCCTGTCTTTCCAAGGGGCTTGTTCATTTACAAAACCTTCTAAAATGATAATCATAATATAACAAAGTGTCAATCATATTAAACGTGTTTTGTTAAAACAAACTTAAACTCCCCTTAACTGTCACAACTATGAACAAAAATAGTTGGGAACAAATTATTGGTGTTTGTGCGACTACTGTGTTGGCAACATTGATCTTAACTGTAGAAGTTATAATTTCTCGTATAAATCGGTCTATACAGAGAAAATGAAACAACATTCCCTTCTCAAATTTGGATTTTCTTAAGCTCTGAAAATTGTTGATGGGCTTTTTCCTAACATCACCTCTCCCATGATAATTCTTGGAAATACTGTCTAGTATACAAAGGGAACTTTGCCTGATTCTACATATAGACACCATAAAGCCTTATTTTCAGAGATTCTAAGGGACGGAGAAAGAATTTTCATTTAACAACTGATAGTATGTAAGAGAAAAATGAAGTATTATTACGAATAAAACAGGCAATACTGTTTCAGTATAAAATAGAGAAGACTTTGAAAGTCGTACTGATGTTTCCATACTTTGATACGTAGCAGAGATGCCAGTAGCACTGTTGCCTTAAAATCAATAATTATTAATTATTGCTAAATTATTCTGTGATGAGCATATGTAAATTAGAAAGTTTATTTTTGTAGGTTGAAAGTGAGAGTATAGCCTCATTCACACAGGGCGAGTTTACTTGCCGGCGAGTACGCTTGCAGTTGTTCACACGATGCTTTTCCCACTCGTCGCTCAGTAGCTGGCTTGAACCAAATCCTCTGACATATTTGAATAACATGCACACAAGTGCAAGCAACTGTGTTCTCACTGGGCTACTTACACGCTAGCTCGCTCAAAAGCTGGCGAGTTGGCGTGTAAAGTAGCCGCAGAGTCAACTTTTTCCAGAGCTTTTTTACAAGCAGCTTTTGAGTGAGTACGTCGTTCACACTGACCTATTTTACTACCTGCGTGTAAAAAAGCCGGCATGTAGCTTGTAAACTCGCCCTGTGTGAACGGGGCTTATGTTTATCAATAGGGTTAAATATGTATTTGATTTAGGAAATATATTTATTGATAATTCAATCATGTAAACTCAATCGGATATATTGTTATGTATCTTTGTGAATTTTTGTCTATTTGTACATTTGCTTATTTTCTGTATTATAGACCTAAATAGATTAATATATAAATGTTGGGAGTTTGAATAAAATTTATGAATATAAAAACAGCCTGATGATTTCTTCATCCTTTGGAGTATGTTTAATTTTAATATTACCAACCTAATTTAATATCTGTGGTCAAAACCAACATAACCCCCATGGTGGAAGGAAAAAACATCCCATGCATAACCCCCTAGTGTAAATGAAACTTTGATAATATTTTATCATGGTACCTGTACCTTTGACAATAGGGCTAGACATTCCATCCCCTTATTTAAGTTGTGGCCAGTTTTAAAATCAAACTGGATGTAGTTTATGTGATCCACCACCAGTACTGGTGTACTGATTTCTGACAAATACTGTCCCCGGGTTTTTCAACCAAAGTAATTTCAAAACGATTAACAGTTATATTTACAATGAGTTTAAAAGAGTCAATTAAAAAATTACCAGTTTGTAAATCGTAGAAATACTCACGATGTAAATCAACATTTCCTGTAAATATTTTATCATATTTCTCAAGCTGATATTGTTTTTTAGTGTTATCAACAAACATTTCCTGACTTATAGCCGCATAAGGTTGTCCATGTTTATATTCGTAATTGATAATGTAGCCTGCATGGTACCACCCTTGTCGCCAGCAGTAAGTTTACAAATTTCAGTCATTTTTTTTATAAAGATACAACTTTTTTCTCATTGCCTTAAGGACTTCCTGCATAACCTGTCTGTCACAGTTTTATTTATACAATTGGCGTTCTTTTGGTTAGTTGCAATAACGTTAATTATATATTTACTGAGAAAATGCAGAGTAAAAGGCTGCATTCCTTTAACTGTGAATCATAATTAAATCGTTCAATGAAAATGTTAGTAAGGGTTTCTTGGATATAGTCATAGGATATTATTCTAAAATCACTTTACTTTTATGGAAACATTGATTAAATGTCCTTGACTACCAGATTTATTTAGCCTTAGAGGGATTTCCTCTGCAATGATCACAAATTTAAGTCTATCTTTCCTACTACAAATTTTAGCACTTTGGCTAACATCCTCGTTCATCGTTTGTAGGAATCTTCATCTTCTAGGTGTTCTTCATCATGTAGGCTAATAACGGTAATAAAGTCTTTAAAATACAGTATGGCTATCTATTTCTTTTACTTGGTGATGTTCTATGACTTTTTGTGTTTCCCTAGTTTGAAAATCGGTTCTTTCAATGATTGTCAAGAAATACAGTACTGTGTCAATTCAATGTTCTTTTTAGGATAATATTTCAAATTTTCCTGGCTTTCTCACTTTTTTCCATTGTAATATGGTACGCAACGCAAACCCAAATTCAAAGAGTAAACATTTAATTTCAACCAGGTCCTTGAATTGTAACTTAAATATTGACAGCAATTAAATTATGTTCTTCAAAAGGATAACATGAGAACTTTATAAGCCACTGGGGCAGAGCCCAAGGGACTTTTTTCAAAAAAATAAGGTCAGTTTGCAAATCTAGGTGACACGCTCTACAATTGTCAAAATCGGTTAAGAAATGGAGAAGGAGTTCATAAGACAAATTTCGTGTTGGCTATTAATAATAAGCTATAGCGTCTGTTGACCATCTCGGTATAAAGGAATAAGGGCGAAAATATAATTATAGACATTATTGTGCATTTTACGACTGGCTCAACCCCTTACCTACTTAACGTATATTACAGAAAACTTTCAAATATGAAATATGCTTGAATTTTTATTATTTATGTTACATTTACATTAGTAAAAACGATTCGATAAGACCATAGACTGGGTGGATCTTCTCAAAGCTCCCAGAGATTAAAAGCTAATTCTATAAATATGTATTTAAGAATAGAAAGCTTGGTTAGTGGAATAGTGGGATATGAAAATATTGACTCCATTTTAAATGTACAGAAATAGTATTTTCTATTTATATTGTTTATGCTATCATAGATAAAAGGAGTATTATAGAGGAGAGTATATAAAAGGAGTATAGTATAGTATAGTCTACTTTTTTAAATCTATGATGGTATAGAACCAACTTTTTAAGTTGAAACAGCTGTCTAAATTATTTTATTTCCTTTATGAATATTCATAAGGCTAACATGGGGAACTACAGAACCACTGGGGTGGAGCCCGAAATAATTTTTGAGATAAGAATAAATGCCTATATGTTAATCGGGAATGTGAGCTATAATCATGCCAAATTTCAGCCAAATCCATCCAGTAGTTAATTCGTGATTGAACTTCAAACAAACAAACAAACACACAAACTTTCACATTTATAATATTAGTAAGAGAAGATAAGTTGTCAATGAACAACTTATCACGTCACCTGTTTGCCGTGCTAGCTTATGGGACTTTTGGTGCTGAGTAATTCTCAGGCCCTGGCCTGGAGTTAAAGGCTGCGGTGTTTCTCCCCACATCTGAAACCAAATTGATTATTGGTTAAATGATTATTTTCAAAATATGAACAGATTAAGTTTTAAGTAGTTTTGGCTCAGCATTGTTATATGACAGGGTAATTTGTATTAAAGCATTGATTAATTACTAGACATGAAGGCTGCACAATATAGTTTATGAAGTATTATGACAAATTCAATCAGACTTTTCACCGCTTCCAGCAGATTTTATACTTTTCAAATTTCTTGTGGGTTTTTCATTTCTAAAACTGCTACATGTTAACACTGAAATTTTAGTCTATGTTAGCAAATTTCCTGAGAGTAGAAACAATACAATGTTTTTACTTCTTTTTCTTTCACTTGGCATAGTGTGCATACTAAACCTGTGGCACCTATAGGAGGGGATGTGCCCGGAGGCCTAACCTAATAATGTTTAATCCTAGGGCCCAACTGACAAGAGTGCCTCTCAAGGACGTGCCTTATATAGGCCATAAAGGTGGCGATTGGGCTTGAGAGGTGGGGGGGGGGGGCGAAATCTAGATTTATTGTTGATATAATTATATTTTATAATTTTGATAAAATATTGTTTATGAAAGTGGGGGCAACTGCCCCCCTGGCCCCACTTAAACGCCGCCTCTGTTTGTTGATGGGGGAAGTACCCAGTACCTGTCACTAGCTGCTAAGTCCTGTCCTGGGGACTTTTCCCTCAGCACTTTCCCTGGGTACTTTTCCCTCGGGGTATTCACTGGTCGCTTTTTCTAGTGCTTCGGGGTTTTGCCTATATTACATGCCCATACATACACTTACTACCCATATTCCTACCTAAGCCTATACCTTCTTAAACACTTCATTACAACTGCCAGCACAGCAGTGCGCATAGTGTCATCAGCCGTAGCAATTGTAACATTGGGGAGCATAGGGATGTCTGATTTGTATATCAAATGACAACAATACCGTATTTCATAATATTATTATTAAAGGTTTGGACTGCTAGCACTTAACTTAAAAGAGTTTAACCATAGATAAAACATAATCCATTTAACTTTACAAAAATGCGTAGACCCAGTATGGTCATCTCTATAAATGAATGAATATGTATAACTACTAAGGCCACCCAAGGCCCAAGGCCCCACTAGAAAATCCACCACTCTGTGTTTAAAAAGCGTACCATTTGTTTTTACTCTGTTTATCGTGTTGTTATGTTGGCCAGCTGGAATTCTGGTTGATTGTTTCATGTTTCATTGTTTGAATAGCTGTCATTGTCAAATTCATTCCATTCTTTCCAACCACCAACCATGTTATTTGATGGACTTTTATAAAAAACCAATCAGTCAGTTTATGTATTTGAACGTATAAATGTGATTGTGGACATATCTGTTGACTAACAAAATCAGGATAACCACGGCCGCCTTTGGGATGACGTTATCATGACTCTAATTTGACAGGTCCTAAGTCCAACCTCAGAGTAATAATACACAATTGATTATGTATTATTACTCTGACGAGGTCCAACCAAACATTGAGATTTATAGCTCAGTGCAACCAAACCGAGACAGTGTTACCAACAAAACACAGCAACAAGTGGTGATCTTTATTCTATGGAGGCATCCCTTTCAGTAAATATTTAATCAGAGAGTAGTGACTCCAGTTATACGGTAATCTATTTGTTTCTATGGCGTAGACAGAGACAGACACGCGCGGAAAAAAATCATCATTTTGTCGTCTGCATCTGCATCATCTTCATCTTAATCAAAATAATTTGTTTTTTTCGCCTTATCAAAGGACAATCGTACACATCAGTTGTAATTACGTTAAAAATCAGTTTTTACGTATTTCGTTGCATAATTATTATTCTATGTTATTGTCCACTTTTATAAGCATGTAATGAATATTTGTTAAGCTATTTCTTGTTTACTAATACAATTTTCAAAGTTTATGGTATGATCCATCCCATTTTATGTTTCGGCCAGACCTATTTTAATAATGATCTTTTACTGATTTGTAGCTATGATATGAGTTTTTATCTTCATAAGACATTTGATTAATTTATGTACAGCATAAGTGAGGGTAGAAACAATCCGTTGGTAAGCACCTACAACCTTACAGGACTTGTTAGAAGTTAGGCCTAATAAGAATGTCAGCAAGTTTCCGTAGGTGCAAATCACGCAGAAGGTTTGCAGCTTTAAGTTTTTTGAACAATATAACTCTAAATGGATCTCATGTCGATACACAGGTTGGAATGTTATTGAATTTAGATGACAAATTGGTAGATTTTGGAAATCCCTGCACTAATCCCACAATCAACTCTTGTAATAAAAATGACGATTTCAAACTGTGCAAAGGTCCAAGTGTAACAAAGTTAACAGAAAACAATTTGTGTCTGGAAAGTGAATTTCAGCAGTGCCAAACAGGGAGTTCATATCAACGAGTAGTCTCAGGCTTAGAACCAGAATCCTACCGTCCTTCGGGAATTAATACACCATTTAGAGAAAGGTAAGTTAAGTTACCAGGTCTTATTTTTAGTAGTACCGTACTTAAAGTTAGCTACATATATTTATATACCTATTAACTTAAGCTAGGTCGCAGCAGCCATTTTACATTAGGCCTACCTATGTAGGCCTATATTAAGTTATAAATAAGTAAGTCATAGCCTAAGAAACTTAGCGATTACTTAAGTTAGTAACTTAGGATAGGACTAGCCTAGTTAAGATGGGAAATAAACTGTAAGCTACTTTTTAATAGGTAATATTAAGTCAGGAACATTTAGAAAAACACAATTAAGCTAGCGTTTTTTCATTCACTTCTCGATCGCTCTAAGTTAACAGTTCAGACATTTTACAAAAGTTTTTTAAGAAAGGGACGCCACTATCTTATGTGCGTATTTTAACCCAAATAGTGGAACGCTCTTGGAGTCTTGTTGCTGACTAAGGCCGACATGTTCCTTAGACACGGCTGTTAATTAATAGCCCATGCAGCCAATGGCAACTAACTTAAGGAACCTACAGTTTATAGTGAAATCCGAACCACATATTTTCCTTGTAATTAACGAATTTGTCTAATGATCAGGATAGTACTACAAATATTTCGTAGTACTCACTAGTGCGGACGTTAATCCACACCAGGGAGTATAGCATTCACAGTGCATGCGTATAAATATCCATAATTGGAACATATGAAAATAGGCTACATGGAAACATCCCTCTTGAATGAGTGCCGGGAGTATGCCATCCCTCCCGGAGATTTGAGAGGGCTGAAGGAATAGACTGCATACTTCACAATCTCCAGCCTGAACAGCTTACTCGAGGGACTCCTCGCTATTGCTGTTTCCTTTGGCAATTTACTTTCTGTGTATTATATCTTCATATTTTCCTTTCCAAAGGTGTACTCCTTGCAAAGTGGATGGCCAGGAGGGTCACTTATCAATTTATCATGATTTGTACTACCGGTACCCATCCTCTCGTATGAAGAGTCCATAGAATTTGGCGCTGTTATTTGAATTATTTGTTACCATTACAGTTATACCTTCCTCAAGGCCTATAATGTTGCCTTTTGTCTTGATCCATCCAGCCGTATCCTGATTGGCGTACACCAGGATCATGTAGCACTGCGGAAGATGGCTCTGAAGGTGTCTAGGGCAGACACTTTCTGTGGCTTCGCTATAGAGAGTGTGAGTCAGAATGGACCCTGGTCTTTTGGACTTTCTGCTGAATTCTCCTTCTTTTTCGTTCCTTTTTACGGGGTCGAGGTCCATTTCCACTGCCTCCTGCCTGGAATATCTGCTCTGGCCTTATTTGCTTATACACTGACACATCAAATATTCAGAACAACTATAATTGTCAACTAAGCCTAACTAATAGTAATGGCCTAATACTATACTAAACATGAAAACATTTATTATGTAAACTTAACTTATACAGCTTGTGATCTCATGGTTCTCGATTATACAGGGAGGGTTGAGGTTAGATAATCGAATAGAATAAGTTTTCTTTAACATAAAAATGTTATCCGTTACAGAACCAGCACAGCAGGAAGTGAATATGGGTTTGAACGTCGCTTAGGTTCTATTGGACACAAGAAAAAAGTACCGGCTCTACTGCATCAGTCTTCTTTGAACGATGACAAGCTTTATCATAATTTCAGCAGCAGTGAGAGTTTGGGCTCAATCATTGGTTAGTGATTTAGGACTACTAGTTACTTCATTGTAGGTTAGAGTAAAACAAATAGGCTACTTATTTAAAATCTGATTTAATTTTTTCTCTTTAGTTAGCCTATTTAAATCTAATATAGTTAATTAACTGCTACAGGGCTTATTTGATCAGTAATTAACCCTTGATATAATATCAAATCAGTTTTTGAAACGAGTGAGTTTATTACTTTCTTACCTACTTTACTTGAAAACGTTCTGTTGCAACAGTTTTAAATAAATATTAGATAGCCTATCACTGTTAACATCTTTGACTATACTCTGTTCACAAAATTTTGGTAGTTTAAAACAAATAAATCTATCCCCTCCACTTGATCATGCCTTTAAAACAATAGCTCAACAGCTAAGGTTTGCCAAAACGTCAATAAGCTGCAACATATATGTATATATATATAGCAAAACAAGTAGTGGGGAAACCTCCCCTTAAACCGCCAACATTTTGTGAAAAGAGTTTAAGTTTAGTTAAGTTAAGTTTATAATTTCATGCTATCCCTGTCCTTGAAGATTTTTCCAAGTTTTACCTGACATTTGAGCCCTTGTGATGGTTTACACTTTATTAAATGCAACTTAATAGATGATCCAGTCTGTTACTGATTTGAATGTGCTAAAATAATTTAATGCGACTTGTTGGAAAATTTTCAGGCCGAAAGTCTGCAGTTATTCATGAAGTTAACTCCCCAGGTTGTAACAGAGAAGTGAGGATAATTCAGCCTTCTAAAGGTCAACATTTCAGAGATGAACGCATTGTATTTTCGACTACTTCAAAGATTCCGCTAATATTTTTCTCACACATACCGTACAACCGCTGTTATCGCCCTCACAGGTGAGTACAGTGGAACCTCTATTATTCGGGTAATTTAGGGTAGGGAGACTATGGATAGCTGAAAACAATGGTTAATCCAAGATTATGACAGGCCCATAAAAACAATGTAAGTATCTAAATAGACATTAAATGTCATTAGAGTTTTATATCAACGAAATACAATATTTCAATCACGATATTATCAAACCATTAACCTTATTTCAGTTGTAAAAACGGTATAGCAATAAATCATGTAAAGACCAAAACAGAAAGCCTAGTAAGCTACTGGCTAGAGATAGGCTACCGGTAAATGCTGTTTCAGAATATAGAAATGCTCAATAATAACACGGTAATCAACTAGCATTTGGTCATATAGTAAGTTGAAAATAAATCATATTAGAGACAATAAAATATTAGATAGCCTAGCCCTAACTTATTAAAAATATAAAGTAATAGTAATCTATTTAAAATGATAAGAACATTCATAAAAACAAGATAAAGATAACAAGGGACATAAAAACTGACATAAATACGTAGTTATTCTTACTCTTTGTTCTACTGTTTCTTGGATTCTTCTTCACATTCAACAAGTTGCCATGGTTACAGATCACCCAATCACAGGCAACCAAGTCGTCAGCTGTTGCATCATAGCGTACAGCAGACAAATATGTAAGAAGCAAACGGTCAGCTTGGAGCAATTTTGATTTGTTTTGCATCTTGTTTATTTTATTGTTGTCAAATTAAATGTGAATTTCAAAAACAAAAATGTGGGAGCCTACAGCTTATCAAAATTGGACCAAAATAGTTTATGATACAATGCATTTTCAATGCACTAGAATTATTAAATATAATTTAAAAAATTTTCATGGTAGCCTATATTTCTTGGATAGTAAAGCTACGTAACATAATTTTAGAGGTGTCCATTGACCACAGTTAATCCGCCGCCCTGTTGATCTGCCCCCGGTTAATCGAGGTTTTCTACCTTATCAATTCCATATTATATATATGTAGGCTAGCCTAGAATCAACATTCCTGGCCCAGATGATGTTCGAAGACAAAGTTTAGCAGTAAATTAACAGTTTTAATGTCTGTTAAAAGACCAATAATTTTTTCACTAATTTAATTTTCATAACAGAACATACCAGTAGGTCTATTGTTTTCTTAATGATTTACGGTACAGAGTATACTTTATGTTGTATGTTCACTTTAACTTTATATGATTTTAAGTACTCTCTGAACTAAATATAGGTTATTAAAATAGGCCTTATTAAGAATAGCTTTTTTCAAAAGGTGCTTGCTATAATGCAAGTTATCAACTAAAATGCAGAATGAAGGGAAAAACTGATCAAAAAACTATTCTTAAGTGAAGTAGGATTTGTAAGGTACACTGAAGCTATATTCTATTTAGGACAAATAAGTAATCATTAAGAATGTGAATAGCAAAAACTGGTATAAAAAACTGTTGCTCTTTATTCAAAATATGCTACACATTGCAGACAATGTAGGTAGATATAATCCAGTTAAAGCACAGTTATATTGTCCACAATTAATCAGTATGAGTTTTACAAAACTTGGTGTACTGAACTTTTAAAGTCAACAGCAAATTGTTTATTTATTTTGTGCAGTTTACAATATGTCTATCATTATGAAAATAGATTATATCTTGACATTGCCGGTCAAAGTCCTGTTGGGGCGTTATCATTCTATAATTATTATTGTACGTATTTGTGGCCACTGCAACAACTTCACCGGACTTAGTACAATTACTTTTTAAGCTTTTATCGTGACAAATCAACAATGTGTTGTTACTTGATTATGTCTCTTTGAGGAAAGAAGTCTTTGCAATTCATATCAAGAGGAACGCTTGGATTCTCTCTGACAGTGTTTCGATGTTACAGAGGTGACCCGAGACGTGAAGTCGGTCGTCGTAGAAACACCTCAGGTCCACGACCATTGTCCTCTATCAACGACATCGACCCCTACACGCTGCTGGGACTGGAGAGAGCTCAGGAGGGTCAGGTTAGTTGTTTAAACCTTCAGCATCTTGTCAAAACTATGGACATTTTCCATTTATAGAATTGTTGTTTGATGCCAATGCAGTTTCTGCGAGGTTAAACAAAAGCTGCATCTAATTTTACAGGGTTTAAGAAAGGAGTGAAAACTGTTTTTGAGTGACCGAGTGAGAAATTTAGGCCTACTCCCAGAAACTCTCTTGAAGTAATTTTAGTACTCGCTCATCTAGGGAGTTCAGAGTTTTTTAGTTGGTAGGTTATATTCAACCATGTTCCCGACGCATCTATTGTTGATACATTTTTGTCATTCTGTGTCATACAATTTACACATCACTGTATCTAAGTTCAACAATGTGGCCTATACATTTATTTGTATAATGTTACTATGCTTTTATTTCAGGAAATATCATATTCAAAACTTTTGAAGCCATCGATAGAGAGAAGACCTGAACTGGATTTAGAAAGTCAACCAATGAAGAAACAGTTTGCCACTAGGTAAAGTTGCACATTCATTAGCCCTTTGCGGTTGAATGGTGAGTATAGGTCGCTGCCCGCCATTTTCCCCGACTGCTCAAAAATGTTAAATCTATACTAAAAAAAGTTGATCTTTGCAGTCAAATTGCAAGTATTGGTCTCCCCGTGCCATTTTCCCGACTGCTTAAATGGCGACCTATAAAAAGAAACAAAAATTAGACCTCAATGGGTTAAGAAATTCTAAGTTTTTATTCCGTCACATGTTTTCAACACCCTGTAGAGTATAATAAGCTACAGTACTAAACTTGAAATGGTCCGCACAATTATTTGTTGTCAATAGGTTATACAGATTAAGGACTTTTAGGCTAATTGTAAATTTGTAGTCAATAATGAAATTAATCGCCTAATCGGTAAGTATTCGTGTACAATAAAATTGGTTATTTTGTTTTAGGGTTTTCTCGTACGAGGGACAACAAAGACTGTCAGGGGGCAACTCTCCTCCCCCCTCCCACTCCGACCCAAACTGTAAGATAAACTAGATGTGTTGATAACTAAGACTCTCTAACAATCATCTTCATATTTAGTTTGTGTAATTTAATTTACACTGATAACAACCCTCCCATGTTACAGTGGGCCTATTCCATAAGCAAGGCAGCTTTTTAACCTATAAAATTTGTAACAGTTAACATCTTGTTTTTAAGAGAAAAAGTTAAAGTGGCAAATGGCTAGTTTTGTTCTAGGTAGTTAAAAAAGCAGAATAAAAAGAAATCCCTACATAATCCACTTGGAACAACTAATTTATAATTTTTTTTTAAAGAATAGTAACCTCTTTAAAATGTGTTTTGGACCACTAACATGAGGAAAATGTAATGAAAGTTCGTTTTTTAACAATAATGATTGTTTTTTGTCCAGGTGACGACTGGGACAGAAGTGAAGTCTATGAACCGGATCTTTTGGATGATCCAGAACTGATTGCAGGAAAACATTGCACATTGCTGACCTTCACAGCTTACATGGTAATTGTGATGTGATAGTGAACATGTCATCTTATTTAAAACATCTTTGAGTTGTAGGACATTTACTACAGGTTTAATATAATAGACGTTTTTTGGGTATTCTCTACAGCTCGTGACATCTAAGCTGGCCTAGCACGGGCAGTGTTGGCGGGAGGAGGGTGGAGGTAGGGAAAAAACCGTACTGCAAACATTTTTACGTACTTGAGCGCCTTCATATGGGTCGCGAGGACAGTTGATGCCACCCACATGACGGGACATAGTGTTTTTGAAATAGCTACTAGTAGCGATCGGCCAAGTGTCAGCTTAGATGTCACGTGCTGTACTTGACTACTTAGTTCTGTATAAGTTTAGAAGTTGATATGCCAGAGTGTTAAGTAGTTTTGTAGGATCATTACTGTGTGTTAGCAACAATAAAATTACTGTACCACTTGCTGCTGCTGTTTATAAATAACTAGGCCTTTGCATAAATTGTGAAAACTGTCTTTAAAAGATTTTCGTACCCAACTTATCTCGCATGCAGCGGAAATTCAATGGTTTACAAAATTTTTTAAACACTGAAGGATACATGTCAGCAACAGAGCTGCAAATAGTGTCATTCTGTTCACAAATTATGCCAGTAAGTGGCGTCCAGTAGTGAGGAGCCCCGTTGCGGCGTTCAAGTGAACTACATATATATACTCAAAAACGGACCTTACTTAAAAAACGCCCTCATCAATCTTTATTGCTAAAACAGGTTTTACTTAGGAAATATTTATTTCAAAAGTTATGAGATTAAAGTTCATCCAAGGTCTTGCTGTCTTAGCAATCTTAAACCAATCAAGATAATTAAAATTTACTCAGACAAGGATTGTTATTAAATTATTGTACGAGTCCAATGCTAATAACCGTTTTTGTTTGATATTTTTCTTTCAGACTTCTATCATTGATTACACGAGACCTTCTGATCTGAAGAAAGAGCTCAATGATAAGTTCCGAGAGAAGTTTCCTTATATTAAGCTCACTCTTAGTAAACTTCGCAGGTGAGTGGGTTAAATCAACGGTTATTAGAACTTGTACAGCAGGCACATTTACTTTCAAATGATACAACCAAGTTCACCTTGTTTTCTGGTGTTTTCTTTGTAACTGAGGATTTAAAAAAAAAAAAAAAACAAGCATAAAACCTACCAATCCCTTAAAAAACAACCAGACCATGTATCTCAGTTCAGAGGTTGTGAAGCTCCAAATGTAAAAGGACGAATTATAGGGCTGAGGAAGCTAAATACTGATTGTCAAGTTGTATCCATATGAATAAAAAACTACTAAATGGCACAACAAATGAACAAGAGCCGTTTAGCTCCTAAACCTTTTGTCAAGATAAGAAAAGAACGTAATGGCTCGTACAAGGGAAAAAATTATAGACGTAAGCTCATACTGTATTTGGTCGTTTCTGAATTCTAGTAATGTTTTTCATTTTGCATGCCTTTGTTCTATTTTAAGTTGTATTTTACTTACATTTTTTATCCAGTCTTTCATTACCTAACTTATCTGCCATTAGCAGATTTTAAACTAGGCCAGTTTATGAAATTATCTTTGTTATTTATTTATTTATCGATATACTTAATTACATTGTAATGTTATGTAGTAATTCAAAATGACGAACACTATTACATTGTGAAATGTTCAAAGAACAATGCAGATGTCTTATTCACATTTAGGGTATTTCAGTTAACCCGGTGCTAAAACCATAAAAATTACTTTTTTCAGCTTGAAACGAGAGATGAGAAAAATAGCGAAGCAAGACAGCAGTGCTGATCTACTTACTGTGGCACAAGCTTATGTTTATTTTGAAAAACTCATTTTGAGAACTCTAATCAACAAAGAGAACAGGAAACTGTGTGCAGGTGCCTGTCTCATACTCTCTGCCAAACTGAATGACTACAAGGGGGAACAGCTGAAGCAGCTGTTTGAGGTAAAAGGACGGCACTTTGTGTAACAAGTTTAATGCTATTCCTACATTTTTTGTACTTACAGGATACCCTGTATAACAAGGTTGTCAGTATTAAAAACAATAACATGAGTTTTACATAGTGATAATTTAGATCTAGCGATACAGCAAAGTTTTAATACCAAAACAACTGCTGCTCTAAGTCAACAATATCATTAGGTGAAAAGTATAGCCTTTTAATAAGGAAATAGTCCTCCCACAACACTCACTTGAGTACATCTTGTTTTGGCATACTTAAAACTGCATTTGCCAAAATTGGTACAGGTAGCAAGGCCCGAGCGTTTCCAGTGACGAGCCAATCCCCCTGGTTTGGTAAATAACATTTTACCAGGTAGCATACAATTGCACGGAACGTTGACACAACCATACATTTATGTGAAATATTTCTTCACTAATTTTGATTTCAACAAACTTTTAAAACCACATTGGCCAAACTAACCACCTTTTGACATTTGGTTAGTTTCTAATGTAGTTTTTATTATGCCTTGCCAGAGAGTGGAGAGCATGTTTAGGCTGAGTCGCAAGGATCTGATCAACTTTGAGCTGGCCGTATTGGTAGCTCTGGAGTTCAGCTTGCATGTACCAACGTGGCAAGTTCTGCCGCACTACCAGCGACTCATCAGCGAGTCTTGACCCGCAGATGACGGCCGCAGCTTATAGGCCCTCGAGGACTGCACATTCCGGTGCTGGACCAACAACGAGTACGACTAAGCTTGTGTCCATCATTGATTTGTCACAGTATTTTGATGTAAGTTTAAACAAATTGTTCCGTAAAGCTAAGGGAGTAGTTTATTAAGCGTAGGTTATCACAGGGAAGTAGGTTGATTTGTACTACTTACTCCAGGTAAGGTGTGACGTCAGTCTGATATTTTCAGTCCCCAATCTACATAGTCTTTAAACCCATTGAAGACGACTTACAAGTGTAGCTCATTACCGCATTTTGCTGTTAGATAGTCGTACTGCTAACTTACTGGCGCAGAAGTAGTGCATCAAATCTAACCTACAAGTGCCAACGCCCTACCTAGCAAACGCTTGTACCACGTTATGATAGATAAATGCCTTAACCCTCCAAGTGTCCATAGTTTAGGCCTTAATGTCCACCTATTTTTGGCGCATTTGCAAGGTTTTATTAAAACGGATCTGAGAAGCTTAAAACAATGTTAATTCTAATGTTCTATATACCATTTTGTTTGGAAAATCATGGGCTTCAATATTATATATAAAACATAAGGAACATTTAAAAAAAAAAAAAATTTTTAGGTAAAAAAATATAATTTCAGAAATTTTCAAAAAAAAAAATAAGTTTGCGCTCAATGAAATTGTATAAATTATAGGCCTATAAATATTTGAAAATAGCCACTTTGTTCTAAATTTTATGAGGATTACAACTATATCATAATACAAGGAAGTATATTTGCAAATAAATAAGTTATGGGCAAAAAACTGATTTCAGTACATAGCGTTTAGCTAAGAATGCATAGCCTAACCAGAGCTAGGAATCTGGCTGATAATTTACATCAATATCACTACCTACTTCTTCAGGATCATCAACCAGCACTTCAAAACCACTTAAATCTTCTTATAATGCACCACGTATATCACTACTTTTGATTTTTAACACTAAAACAATGATAAACGTAATAAAACACATCAGTCATCGGTCCGGGGGAACCTAGCTGTTTACAAATACACGCACATCAGCTGTCTGCTACAATATTTTCGGAACTAAAATGAATAGCGCTTAGAGACAGACCTCTGGAGAAAGCTTAGAATATTACGGAAAGAACGATACCTAACTCGATCCAGTTCAATCCGATTCAGTCAGTCATAGAGCCTTCGCCGTAAACGATGTCTGCATGTCGAAAAATCGACAAGTAACACTACACAAAGTGTGCTGCTTGTCGAATTTTCGTCAAGTAACACTGGGAGGGTTAAGTAAATGGAGATTATGTAGAAAAATAACCTAAGAGTTAACCTTCAAAAAAAATATATAGCAAACATTGGTCTATTTTCACTTTGTTTATGGTTTAATTAAAAATGTTTGTTACTTTCTGGATAGACCGCGTAGTTAACTTAAAATACCTATAATTTTTTTTTGTGGTTGCAAGTAATAAATTAAATCTGGTATCAATTTTGAAGCTCAAGCCACTTTATCATTTTTTAATGAATTGTTATTTTTTTCAGAGCTATGAATCAACAATTTTTTTGAAAGCCACAAAACAAGTGATCGACAACCAAGACTAGAAGCAATAGATTTAGCATACAGCATATCAGTGAAATTCCTCCAGGCTGCTACAAAATTTTTAATTTATCTGCTTTTATATTATTATTTAATAAGTACAAATTTGTGGTATAGTAGTAGCATTGACTATATATAGAGACTGCTCGATGAAAGTTTATGTTTTAGGGGTGGATACAACTAGGTGTTTTAAGTAATGGATATCTTTTATTTTAGCACCAAATTTTGGATTTTGTGGAATGTTTTAAGTCTTGTTGAATAAAGTAGTTATACTTGTGTAATAAAGAGTATAATGGAAAAAACAACATTTTGGGATTCAAAAACAAACGAACATTATCATTGTATTTTTTTTTAAAGTTCATAAACAATATGCAGCTTAGAAAGATTTTTCACATTCCTTAAAACTTAAAACTTGGAAGGTTAAATATATCTAGTCTGTTAAAATCTCTTTCCTGGGCGTATACATGAAATAAAGTGGTCATCTTTTCATAAGCTAATTCTTCCATTTGAATAACTATGGAAGCAAAAGAATTAAAAGACTTTTAATTTGAATGTCAGCACAGATTTGATCTTCGCACAGTTCTAAAAACTTTTGTCGTAATGAGAAGTCACATTGCATCTGTTTATTTAATAAAACTACTAATTACTGTATACTACTTCTTGTTGTTGCAAGATCACATCCCAAAAAAGTAGGTGAAAATTTCCCCATGTTAGTGTCTTTAGTCAATGGTTATAGTTAGAAATATTTTGTTACCATGTTTGTTAAATGTTTGATGAAGTTTATGCTTTATTGTTGTTAAATGTGTAAAATAAATTTATGGTAGTTGTTTAGAGATTAAGCTTAGGTATATCTTTTATTTGTCCATCTGTATTATATTAATCATAACACTCATTGAATAAATTTATGAAATTTATAAAATATGGAGTTGCATTTTTGATTTATTACAATACATTTAGAACAAGTGTCAGGGTCAATGAATTATTTCTTAGAGCATGGCAGTGTTTTAAGGGTGCGCTCTACATCAGCTCGAGCCTCAGTAGCTATGTTGCACCATTGAAAAGCGCTTGCAGACATTTAAATCCTCTCAAGTTACTCAGTTAACTGAACATTTTTTTGTCATCTGAAGAAGGTTTCTTACTCCTTAGATTCAAATTTATGACTCTATCGTTTTAATTTTCGTCTAAATATTCATTTGTATGTGTAAAATGTTTTAGAAAAAAGCTTATTTTGAAGTATTTACCAATCACTCCCCACTTAAAAGTTCTACTATTGCCAAAAAATTAAAACGATACAAGCCTACAAAAATAAGAAATGAATAAATTACAGTAACATAAATGTGTTTTCAATCGGTTAAGAAGTAAGCCAATAATAACGGAGATCCTTAAGGACCCTTGTTTGGTGGATTTTACCCTTGCATTAATTAGCGTGCGGTGGACAGGTAGAGCACACATAACTCACAAGTCAACTCATTATTTTACATCTATTCTATTATTAAATTGAGGTGGTGTCTGTCTGTGCGGCTCTCACTAAAATAGATCAATAAGAAATAGCTTAAATATTACGATTTTTTGTTGTAAAATGAGGCAAACCTGACAAGCTTCGGCCTTATTCTACACCATTTCACATCTAAAAATCATAATATTTAAGCTATTTCTTATTAGATCTTTTTAAACTTAATATCATTTGATAGGGAATTAAAAAATGCTATATAAAAGTGTTCTTGTCATTTTTTTATAAAACCAGCCATTTTAGATTAATTTAAGTTTAAAAAACTAAAATGACCGCCATTATGAAATTGTTAGTTGAATGAAGATGATTTTTTTTCTAACATGGTTCTCTTCTACCTTTACTTACATACCAAGTTTCATAAAGATCGGTTGAAAAAAATTTGATTGATAAAATTGATTAGGTATGTAAAAAATACAAAATGACAGATATCTGGTTAAGGAAGCATTTTGGAAAAAATGCTTTTTTTATTTTTACCCAAGGAATTACTACGTAAATTATGTCCCCACCTTTTTTAAACAACCTATATGAAATAAAAAGATGCTGCCTGCCTTTACAAGTAAGTAAGTAAGTTTACGTTTCAAATCTCAACACAGAGATGTAATAAAGCCCAAACCATGTGTTTTGCTGCTCTAATAGTTTTGTATCACTGTTTAATATGTGTAGTCCAAAATATTTATGTATTCAATTTATTATATTCTTGTGTTTAAACTAATCAAAAGTTGTTATTTGATCAAGTTGTTTTGGGTAGGCCGGATATGAGGGGTTTTACTGTATATGGCTTTTCACAATCAGCCTGTTTCATAAAAATACTAGTCCCGTATTTACCTGTCCTACTAATTTGTGTTTGAAACGTAGACTTGTAAAATACACTATTATTACTAGTCCATGGACTAGTAAATACTAGACTAGTACTGTAGTTTTATGAAACAGGGCCCAGGGGATGTAGATATAAAGTCAACGGATATAGTGCTAGATAAAGATAAGTATTCACTACCAGTCATTGCTGACCTATTTTCACTTGGACGTATGTATTTCTTTCGGCCACCATTTTGAAATATGAAAATTTTTTTTTAATATGAAGCAGGTGTTGTGTCCCATAATTTTGAATTACTTTTTTAAGCTAAACTCAATTCTGCAATCCATTTTTTGTTTTCAACTTTCCTTTAAAATAATACAATTTTGTTAAAAATGTCAATATTTCAAAATTAGCCTGTCAGCCACCTCGTTCCCATCTATCCCTGAGTGCCCAGGTACCCAACAGACTGTTACCTTGTTGCGCCTGCCCAGGTCGCATACTGCAGAGAGGCAGTCCCGGACCACCTTGGAATATAATTCGTAGAAGTCAATCGCTTTATGCGCAGCCTGGCTATCTGTAAAAATGGAAATATTGATGACCCTGAAGCCTGCCTCAGGTTCTCCCTATCACATTCCTTTATCGCAGTTATTTCGGCCTACACAGTTGGGTGTCTGCCCATGGGAATAGAGGTTCAACCCGTTCTGCACTCCATGAATTCCAGCCTCTGTCCCACTGCTTACCTTTGAACCGGCAGTATGCCATTCAAGGTCGCCTTGTGGAAGAGGGTTCTCACCCGACATCCACTTATCCCTGGATGGAAGGACGGTGAATGGCCTGGCGAAGAACAATCGAATCGGCATGTGGTCCAAAGGCATGTCCAGTAGTACCTCTTACCATCTGAGTGATCCGAGAGGGACCTCGGGATCTTTCAACATCCAACCAGAGGTTTTTGCACTGGAGTCTGTAGGCAGTCCTCCTCGCTGTGACATGCAGGTCAATTGGAGTGAGGTTGAGAAGTTACGGTACAAGTTTCTTCATAACTGGAGTATAAAGTTTCTATTATAGTTATTAATTTTTACTTTACACAACTTGCGTTAATTAAGGACACTCAAAGTTTTTAAAGCATTCGCTAAGGCTCGTACTTTAAATTGTTAACATTATCTTTAGAGGAACGCTATTGTTGCGTTTTAAACTACTATTGCACTATTAAAAGCTCTTGTCAGATCTACATATTCTCTCTGTCAAAAGAATTAATGTTTTGACTCTGCAAACTCATTACCAGCTATTACAGAAAACTTTTTAGATCTGTAATCATGTTGTTTGTCAAGAAAACTGAATAAGCACATCTTTTTCTAAGAGTTTTGAACACTGAGCTATAATAATATAACTGGAGAAACCACTCTGTGTTTTAAAAACGTACCACTGTTTTTGATGTTTTTGTTTTAGAGCTTCGTGTTGTTAGGTTGACCAGGTGGTCGGTTGGTGGGGATTTCTCAAATTAGAGGAAAAATCAAGATGGCGTCATCCTATTGTCTATTGTCTTGTTGATAGCAAACAAAAATATGTCAACATCATAACAATAACAGTATCATAACATTTTAACAAGATCATAAACCGATGGTCGTTCTTTATCAAATGCTATAGGTAAACCTGCCACAGTAAACCCAAGACTAAACCAATATCTCCAAACCAGGAAACTTGACTAGCCTAACCTCAAATGAATAGTATGGTTAGGTTAGAATGAATTGGAATTTGACTTTGACAGCATCCCACCAACCGATCACACGGCCAACCTAACAACACGAAACGCCGAAAACTAATCAGCAAAAACAGTGGCACGTTTTTCTCTAATGTTTAACCAGAGAGTAGTGACTCTCCAGTTATAATCTATATATCAATGGTTTTGAAGAAGACAAGTAGACAATAACCTTTTAAGGGAGGTGAGGTTATGATTTGTTTATAACCACTTATTGCTAACTAAATTGGAAATCAAGTCAAAAAGAAGGTAAATAAGTAAACCTATAGTAGAAGATAGAAAACATTTATTGGTTACATTCGTACAGAATAACCTTGTTCATGGAACAAAAGAAAATCACTTCCCGATCACTTTTATAACACCATTTAATTGTAAAATAGGGAAATGTCACACTTTAAGAATGCCATATTGCATTATATTGATAAACTAACATTAATACAAATTAATTGGTAATGGTCGAATTGAACTTCTGGTTGCATATCTTCTGAAACAAACAAAACAATTGAATTAGTTTATTAATGCCAAATATATGGGTTTTTTTCTAGTTATAATGAAAATAGTTTTTAAGGGTCGGTTGCTGATTTAATCGGTTCGATCTTATTCTAATCGGTTTCTCCCCCTTTAAATTACTTCTTGTAAATATACTTTTCCTCTCTACATATGCAAAGGTTGTATATGTGTTTTAAATTGCATTATTTGTTGCCAACCAAGCTGTATGACCCCACGAGAACTAGTCAAGATAATGACCAAGTTCACTTAAATTGTGGTCGATGAATGGACAAAGAAATAATTATTATACATTAAAAATTTACTATTTAATTTATTAAACTTTGTATGGTAGGTACTCAAATCACCAAATCATTGTTTTTAGCCTTCTTTTTTACTCGTTTAATAATGTTAAATGTTCAATGTTTGAAGATAACTGGACGGGTTTCTTCTAGTTGGTTTTGTTAATTACATAAAATATGAAAGTCATTAACTATCATCTGATAAACCATTTACATGCTCCTAGCCAACTAACGATCACTGTAATAATTCTCCGCTTTGATTTCTACTTAAAACTAAAACTAGCAAAACTGACAACCGACTTTGACAACCTACCACTCCCTCTTAACAAGGGTTTTAGATCCTAGTAAACAAGGGACAGTTTTAAATAACGTAAAACCTAGTCGTTTAGAGTTAAAAAAATTTTCTCTGTCGCCAAGTGTGCCTTTTCAATATTATTGGGACGGATTGGGCCAACAGTAGACCAGGAGCTGGAAAATGATTACCTATTGGTTTTTTTTTAAGTCCCACCAAGCGCATTTTTCCGCAATGGCAAAAAATGTTTGCAATAAAAAACCTGGGAAGAACTGAAGCTAGGAAAGTGTTTGCAAAGATGCGGGGTCAAAAATTGACTGCAGAATAAATTCTTTTGACAAGTTCAAATATAAAAAATGCTTGATTTGTTATATAGAAAAAACATGTGCTGAATGGAGTCATGGTTTTTCAAGTGAAAACTGAAATCTCAAAATCCCACATAATATCTCGTACGACAAATTTATCCAAGCTTTCTGGTTTTCTGATCCATGGCCACCCTATTTATATGAATAACATTAAATAATTAACTTTACTTTATATAGACATAGTGCTGTAATATTCTGTATTTGTAAGGAAAATGGGAAAATGAAAGTGCTTTTCACTTACCACCATAACTGATGTCAACTGTCTTGCTGTTTAACGTCCTTCAACTGAAATGAAAGACAGCAATTATTTTGGGTCTGCAATTTAACTCAGCCAAATAAAAGACAATTGTAATTCAAAGTGGATACAATGATGTCCAATGCTAAATATTTTTAATGCTAGCTGCACAAATTTCTTTTCTGTTGAAAAAGCTTCACAAGAAATCTATCAAAACTACCCTGAAACTACTGATCAAGCGAAGGAGGAATGTTTCTTTCCCACCCTTCACCAAATTATATTTTGCTTTTGGCGTAGAGCTTAAGACTTTGAGTTACATTTATAATCCTTCTCCATTGGAACATTAAAATTTAAGTGCATCTGAAACCCAAGTACATTTCCCATATGTAGTACAAAACTAATTCAACTCCACTTCCCCTAAATTTAGTTTAATGAGCCAAGTTTTCATTTTTGATAGTTAGTTTACACTTGATATATTACTGCTTGTGTTACGTGTTATATATTGAGTACAATACTCACTGTAGGATGAGAGGTCAATTTCTTCGGGGAGTTCAGTGATGTTTACATCGAATCTGTCTTGCACGTTGTTCAAGATGTTGGCATCGTTTTCATCGCTCGCAAATGTTATGGCAAGTCCCTATAGGAAAAAGGACATAATTAAGATTCACCAATGTTAAAAGAATCTTTAAAAAATATTTGTAAAAACTTTACTACACACCACAATAAACCATGGATGGAAAACTTCTAATAGGCTAACCATCGTCTGGATCACAAGAAGTCACAAGTGTTAAATTTTACATGTCTTCATAGTTTGCTATTTCTAGATTCAATGATTCATATCAGCCTTTTAAACCATACAAAGGAAAGAGGGAGTCAAGTTCTTAAAGATCAAAGAATCTGAGTCAACTACAGGGTTCAACCATTCTTTAAAAACCTAAAAAAATGAAATTATTTCTGTTTAAAAATTCAACTTGGCTGAAATCACTTTGAATAGCTCACCTTGGTACCAAATCGACCAGCTCGCGCCACTCTGTGCAAGTATGTGTCTGTATCCTCAGGCATGTCATAGTTGAACACAATGTTGACTCTCTCTATGTCCATACCTCTACCAAACAGATTCGTGGCCACCAGAATACGCTGCAAAGTGAAAGCAACATTAGGAATTTCCAAAAAGATCAAAAGTCAAAACAATAACACAACTACACTGATCTAACATGGTTCACACAATTTAAGCTATACATTTTTAATACAAAAAGTTTTCCCGTAGGTCTATACATAGCTAATTGTGGACTATGATCAATTTTTGGAGCTTGCCATTCGCCATTTAATAAGAAAAACCATATTCTAATTAAAATTTTATCTTGCAAATATTGTAAGAGCTATGACATTCATTCCAAAGAACTGAGTTTAACTGATTACTTAGCCTACCTAAGTATACGTAGGCCTGCATCTTATGTCAATATTTCTAATGTAACCATCTTTTCGCTAGAACATCGTCAGTAAATAGATTAAACATACTTCCTTAGTACATTCGTTATCCTTATCAATCAACTTCAGACATTTTGTTGTCATTCCATCTGATGTCACAAGTATTGTTTAGTTTACACATTAGTTTCTTGTTATTTTAACTATTTAAAACCTTGCTTAACTAAATAAAACAATCTAATCAAAAACAACAACTCTCTCCTAGTTACATAACCAAATAGCAAAGCACAAGTCATAAAATTCACTATGTGATCTCATCCAATCTCTGGCTACCAAATACAGCAACTTTAAGTAATAAACAGCATGAAAATCACCTTTTGGAAATCCTTGAACTCCTGATATTTCTTCAGTCTTTCCTCCTGGAGCATTCCTCGATGGATGGCGACGGCAGGGAAGTTCTGCTCAGAGAGAAGAGTTGCCAACGCCATGCAGCGCTGCACTGACTTGACAAAGATGACCACCTACGCAACCACATTAACTTATTGTTGGTGTAAGTTTTCACAACAATGGTGTTAACAAAACATAAACTGAATAGAAGTTCAATCAATAACCAATCTGACAAAGATGAAAATTTAAAAAAGAAAACAACCGAAAAACTCCAATGGAATCCAGAAGAAACTTAGTCTAGTCAAATAATTGAAAAAATAAAAATATTAAGTGTGCATTTTATAAACGCCCGGTTTTTATAAGCCTTCAAAGGAAGGTTCAAATAAAAGAGAGGAGTTTCTTACAGTCTCACATTTTTATCACAAATTACTTATTCATAAGCTTTATAAGATGAGTTAAAATTCATTATGTAGCCCCTGGACCACTGAATTGATACATATCTTTATGTCAACAACCCATCAAAGTAATGGTTTAATTCACTCATGTTAAGCATTCAAGCATTGTCGAGTGCTTTTAAGAATATTTCACGTTTCATCCTAGTAGACTCGTCATTAACATTCAAACAAATACACATAGGTCTATAAGACAACATAAACCGAGCCCGGGATTGTTTTCACATTACTTCAGGCTAGACCTCAGGGTGGCGTCATTATCACTGAGATCAAATCCATTGGTGATTTGGCGCGATTTGAACCCGGGACCTCGGAGACCAAAGTCCCACGCTCTAACTACTGGACCCGTTCGCTCCTTGGTTAATAGTATAGTAGGCCTAATTTTGTGTGTTGTATCGTCTAAATATGTATATTTCATTTGAATGTTATTGATGAGTCTATTAATGGATGAAAAAAGATCACTTGACGAAGCCTGAATAGGCGAAACATGTAGTTTGACTTTGACCATTACTTTAATGGACTGTTGACATGAAGGTATTTACATTATAATAGTCTAGGTGATTAGCCCAAATTGTGTAGTTAAATACATCACGACAGATATCACAAATGATTAAATTTTTAAAATCTTTTATTTAAAATTTGGAACTTTTTTTAGGCCTAACTCAAGTTTTTGATGGTGTACAGCTCACTAATATGTTTACAGTGATTTTTAAGCTCAAATATTAGTGGTGGGGGCAGAGTTGTAATTTAATTGGACTTGTAAACCCAATTATAGGGATGCGTCTAATGCTATATGTAATCAGTTCACGAGCCACTCACCTGATTGAACTCAAGTATGTCTAAAAGTTCAAACAGTTTTTTGTTCTTCTCATTCTCCTTCAGTTTGACATAATGCTGCTGGAGTCCATGAAGTGTCAGCTTGGCTTCGTCGTCAACGTAGACTTCCATAGGCTGGACACCAAAAATCATCCTACTCAATCTCAGTCACACTTTCCAAGACACAGACAAAAATTAAGAAAAGGGGATGCCTACTAATGAATACTGTATGTCCAAGTATAAAAAAAAATAACATTTGTGAGTTAAGTTCAATAATCAATAATTCAATAATCAATAAAAATAATTAAAATTAGGGATGGACGGGTCCCGAAATTTCGGGAATTTTTCGGGAAAAAAATATTCCCGATTATCGGGACGGGATTACATTTGACTCGGGAATTTTTCGGGACGGGATTTGGTCCGATCGTCGGCGATTTTTCCGCTTCGCGAGTGCCGATAACGCCGTTATTGCGAGCGATAGGTCCGCGAACGCAGGAGACGAAGTCATACCGACGATCGCGCCGTGACCGCGAGTCATGACGACGATCGCGCCATGACCGCGAGTCATGACGACGATCGCGCCGTGACCGCGAGTCATGACGACGATAGCGCCGTGACCGCGAGTCATGACGACGATAGCGCCGTGACCGCGGAGTCATGCTGACGATCGAGCCGTGATCGCGAGTCATACCGACGATCGCGCCGTGACCGCAAGTCATACCGACGATCGCGCCGTGACCGCGAGTCATGACGGCGATCGCGCTGTGACCGCGAGTCATACCGACGATCGAGCCGTGATCGCGAGTCATATCGACGATCGCGCCGTGACCGCGAGTCATACCGACGATAACCCCGTGACCGCGGAGTCATACCGACGATCGCGCCGTGACCGCGAGTCATGCCGACGATCGCGCCGTGACCGCGAGTCATACCGACGATCGCGCCGTGATCGCGAGTCATGACGACGATCTCGCCGTGACCGTGAGTCATACAGACGATCACCCCGTGACCCGCGAGTCACAAGTTACTACAGGTACCTGTAAATTGTTACCCATTTTTTGGTTTTTATAGATCAGTGCCACAAATGGTAAAAATTGATTTCGTATGTCTTTTTTGGTAACTGCAATACAGTACTTTCTTTTTATGCACAGAAAAAAATCCCGTCCCGTCCCGTCCCGAAAATCGGGAAGGAAATAAAAATCCCGTCCCGTCCCGTCCCGAACTAAAAATTCAATCCCGTCCATCCCTAATTAAAATAAAAATTAAGGGGAAAAATTGATGTTTTGTAGAGCATAAAATACACTTTAAATAAACAACCAATTAGTTTAAACTGATAAATTGATTCAGGAAGGGTTTAATTGTCAAAGGTTTGAATGTATCAAACCAACATCAATCAATTCCTCAACACTGTACATGTGTCATTGCGTTTAATTTAAATATAGATAGGTAGCCTACAAGAAGTTAAGGGTGTTTGGTCGCAAATTTTCATGTCTGATTTTTTGTTATTGTTTAATTGTACTAAAAATTAGAGATACAAATATATAAGAAAAAATTTTTTATTTTGAATATTAAGCGAGATATGGAGCTTGAAAGTAGTAAATTTTTAATCTTTGGTACCAGTTCACAGGGAGAATGGGTAATGCGATTCTCACCAAAATTTGCATTCAGGTGTGGAAAAATAAGATAATAATCACTAGCTATTTAAAATTAAAAAATTAAAAAAAAAATTTTTTTTATATTTTTTATAAATTTTTTAAAAAATTAAAAAAAAAATTTTAAAAAATTTAAAAATAGCTCTTTGTTTTTGGGAAAAATGTATCTGTATGTTGGAATAAAAAAAAATGTGATATGTTAACTCGTTTGGGCTGTGAATTCGTACCTTTGATGCCTTGCGCTGTCGGAGCACTACTCGTTGAGAGTTTGTACACTAACACCGGGGCTTTAGAATACTTTAACATCACGTAATTATTAACATCCTTTAACATTGAAAGAATACGTTTATCGTTGTATTCTAAAGCCCCGGTGTTAGTGTACACACTCTCAACGAGTAGTGCTCCGACAGCGCAAGGCATCAAAGGTACGAATTCACAGCCCAAACGAGTTAACATATCACATTTCTTTTTATTCCAACATACAGATACATTTTTCCCAAAAACAAAGAGCTATTTTTAAATTTTTTTAAAAATTTTTTTTAATTTTTTAAAAAATTTATAAAAAATAAAAAATAATTTTTTTTTTAAATTTTTTAATTTTAAATAGCTAGTGATTATTATCTTATTTTTCCACACCTGAATGCAAATTTTGGTGAGAATCGCATTACCCATTCTCCCTGTGAACTGGTACCAAAGATTAAAAATTTACTACTTTCAAGCTCCATATCTCGCTTAATATTCAAAATAAAAAATTTTTTCTTATATATTTGTATCTCTAATTTTTAGTACAATTGAACAATAACAAAAAATAAGACATCAAATTTTTGACCAAACACCCTTAACAGATAAAATAAATTCATCTGATTTCCCTACAATTAAAGACACAATCCATATTGTGTTTTGATTTGTTAGTGCAAAAATAAATAACTGTTAAATGCATCCATAAAATCTGCTATCTGTTATAGATGTGAATGAACAATAATTACAAATGAGTAATATGGACAATGAATTCAAACTATTCTACTCTAAATGGTTAAGTTTGAATGTATGTTGTTGAAATGGCTTGTGTACTAGTGTACAAAATAACTAAGGTACATACGGTTTACTGCACCATACCACCGGATCATGTACCAGCAGAGGCCAGCAGTTTACGGAAGTTCTCACAACTCTGCTCAGACTCTAACGGATGACTGCTGAGTCGGGAAACGACACACAAGCAGCTATCATAACCAAAACCCTTTCTTCTTTCGTTGCCCATCTTCTTTCTTCTTCGCTGAACCCCCCAACCCTCGTTGAAATAGATACCCAGATGAACATAACCCATTCTTTCTTCTTCGCTGAACCCCCAACCCTCGTTGAAATAGATACCCAGATGAACATACCCATTCTTTCTTCTTCGCTGAACCCCCCAACCCTCGTTGAAATAGATACCCAGATGAACAAACCCCATTCTAAGGACCCAGGGTTGAACTGAAGGAATCACGGAATTACAAAGGAAGTGGGTCAAGTTTGGAGTCTCATGACTAAGTATCAAGGATGTTTGTTTTAGAGGAATCACTTTTCAAGTGTAGGATGTGAGTAGACAAGTAAGGATAGTGTGGTGGGAAAGTAAAGTTAGCGCCCCTCCCAGGAAACAACTAATAAAATGAAGTGGATAAATTACATCTTGCATAAATTTTTTGCAGACAGGCCTGATCTCCTTGCCGAGTGTTGCGCTGAACATCATCACTTGCTTGCTGTGTGGAGTTTCTCTGAATATCTCCTGGACGTCTCTTCTCATGTCTGGAAAAAATATAGAAGTTCTCAGTCTGGTTATGTAGAATGTGCATAGGATTGAACTGTCAATTAATTAGCCTAACATGGTAAACAGCCATATAGCTTGTAATAGAATTAAGTAGGCTATCCTGACAACAAAATTAATTCAAACTTAAAAATTACGAACCTTGCAAAACCCCTTTTACATAATCAGAAATTCTAACTGCCTGTAGCAGTAGCATACAATCGACTGCATATAAAAAATTAAAATAGCAGTATTGCACAGTGTCAAACTTGAAACCAACCACAAGAAATCCAGATTTCGTTGTCCCCCACATTAGTTTGAATTTGTGAGAGTATACAATCTATTTAATATTCACTTGCCTAATAGTTCCAACATTTTGTCACACTCATCAAGAACAAAGTGCTTCAAATGTTTCAGGTTTAACTTCTTGTTGCGCACCAAAGCAAGGATACGTCCTGGAGTTCCCACCACTATATGCGGACAATTGTTTTTCAAAACTTCCTCGTCCTTTTGAATTGGCAGACCACCGAAAAAGACTCCCACCTGAAAACGAGTAAAATATAAATAGGGCAAGTATAAAAGTGTGAAATTAAATGATTTGGCATTACAGGCCTCATTACAAATGCATGCTGTAAGGAAAGCACGCATTATTATTATTGGTAACTCTTAAAATCTAGCCTATTAAAAATCTGCAAGTTTTCCAAGTAGTGCATTAAGCTTTATGATTGTTTCATAGTATTTTTGTTACTTAAAGGACAGCGGATTTCTATTGAACTGGTGTTGAATTAAATTTTTAGTCTTAAAAAATAGTTGGTGACTTTTTTAAAACAAATGAATTTTAGAGCCATTTCAAACAAAAAACGTATCACACTTTATTGATTTAGTCAGTGAATCAGCTCAGGGGCAAAAAAAAGAGGATTTAAAAACGTATGAATTGTTAATTTAGGAAAAACCATTCTTTCCTCAACATGAATCTTTAAATAAAAAACCACAAATAATAAGGATATTTTGTACACAATTTAAGCTTTAGCACCTCACAAGGGTATAGTAATTAAAAATTACACAGCCTTACTAAGTGCTATCAGAATACCATTTTGGCTGACATACCTTAATCTGAGGCATGTATTTTGAGAAGCGCTCGTACTCTTTGCTGATCTGGAATGCCAGTTCTCGGGTGTGACACATTACCAAGACGTAGACATGGTTGTCAGAAGTGTTCTCGAGCTGTTGAAGTGTTGCCAACACAAAAACAGCCGTTTTACCCATTCCAGACTTAGCCTGACATAAGATGTCCATTCCAAGCACTGCTTGAGGTATACATTCGTGTTGAACTGTCGACATAAAATATATACAGTGTTATTCTTTGGTTGGAGTACTATCCTGGTTCATGTCATTAACATATTTTTAGGTTAACACCAGGTTTTGAAAGTTGAATTATGGTAGCTACTTCTATTACAAGTTTAGAAGTAGACTACAGTTTAACTAAGGTTTGAGGGGGAAAAAAATTCAATCTTGAAAAATGAAATAGAAAAGCATGTTGGATAAACTATCACTGCACTCTCACTAGGTCTAACTAATGATTTTATTCAAGAAATCACACAACACAAAAATAACCTTCTTTTAGGCATGAGGTTGCATATATCCCCGTCAGTAGTTACTACAATACTACTGAATTCACTGTTTGTGCTTACAAAAAATGTCACACTCTCTTAGAAGTTTGATAATAATCCAAACCTTCAAGGAGTTTTAGTAAATTGCATTTAACCACATGAATTATTTTTAAGGATTTAATTGAAACAAATTAATTATTAAGTTAAAACAACAAAAATAGCCAATACCGTACATGATATGAATATTTCAAACCTACCCTCGGACGGATGTTCAAAACCACAGTCAACAATAGCTCTTAAGATTTCTGGTTTCAAGAGGAAATCTCGAAACCCTGAACTGTGAATTGAGACGTAGGTTCCTTTGACCTCTTTCTTGGGAGGATCCCCAGATCCGTCTACTACGGCCTGTTCTGGCTGCTCCTCATCTTCGTAGTCCAAAAGATCATCATTGTCTGCCATTTTCTGTAACATGTAGTGAAAAATAGAATAATAGTAAATATATCCACTATCCAGAGGCCCACCCATTTATGATGGGTTCAAATATATCAGGGTTGCCACCATAGTGGGACGAAAAAATCATGCAGAATTAACATTTCATTGGCAACTTAACCCATTGAGGAAGACACACGAGTCTGACTCTATGCCGCTCCGGTGGACTGAACGCCGACACACGAGTCCGACTCGATGTGTGCGTTGCACTAGTACTATGTAGCCTATGCCTATGTCTATGCCTCGTAGTAGTACTTCTGTTCCTAATCTTGAGGCTAATAGGCCTACTACCAAAAAATGTATCTAGTGAAAGGAAAATAAAGCTTCCACATTCGGAAAAACCTAACAAAAAAATGAAACCTACAAATAATTCTCTGGTTACCAAAAACAAAAACCTGGTAGGCCTAAGAAATCAAAAACACCCCAAAAAGGCAAATGTAGGCCTAACAATAAAAAAAAAAAATTCAAAAAACCCCAAAAAAGGTAAAGGTAAGAAACCAAAGTTCGTTCATAGCGATTGGCCTTGGTTGGATGTAAAAAATGTCCCTAAACAAATTGAATTCCGCGGTGTACCTGGAATAAATGTACACACACTACGTAACTTAGGTGAGAACCCAACAGAATTAGATACATTTATGCAGTTTGTGGGGAATGATTCTTATGCTGATTTTAGAAAGATACGTCTAAGAGGCAAGTTTCTTTGTGTTACAACTTTACATACATAAAATAATACTATTTCTGTGATTTATAAATATAGGGCCTAGTTTTAAAACAAAAATAAAAACATATTAGGCCGAGCTATTCCAAATTAATTACACTAGGCCTATTAGAGAAGAATCAAAATAACTCAATCATTCCAAACAAATCAAAGAAAAATCCCGCTCACCCGACCAAGGAAATCCTGTTTTACCCCCTATGAAAAATCCTGTATTATTCCGGTTAATGAAATAATGTATTAAAATTAGATTGATTAGTTAAATTGATTTTTCAAACCACATACAGTCCCTTGAGAAGACTCGGCTGAAATCAGCATCTGACCTAGAATTATTTAAGATTAACTTCATACCATGGCCATACAATCAGAAATAGGTACTTGTACGCATTTGGGATTACCGACAGTGCAGTAGTGAGTATGTAAGTTTTTGATTAGGCATATACAAAATGTTAAATGTGTCTAATTTTTTGTTGTTTTTTTAAAAGCTTGTTTAACCAAAGGGTACCTACTTAATAACATTAAATATTACCACAATAATTATAGCCTAGGCCTAACCTAACGGTGGACTATGTTTTAGGGTGACCCTACGTTAAGAAGATTTTGTTATTTAAACTAATAAAATTTTATTTGAAAGTTGATTTATCGGTGTGGTCGGCACACGGGCCAGCAATAGTGTGACAGGCTTAGCCACACGGGTCCCCATAAATATCATAACAATATTTATATGAGAATTAAAACACATTTTTTTTTTATGATAAAAATTTGTTCAAACCTTATAGTTCAAGTAGTTTACAACAGCTAAACTAACACTATTACTTGACCGATCGATATAAATTATTTACCAACCTAAGTAAAAGAATTGTCATCAGTCATGCGGGTTGCATTAACTGTCCTCGTGGGTTGTGTGAAGGCGCAGTCAAAATTGGTTGCATAATAATAGGGCCGTATTTATAACCAATGTGGCCTCTGGCCTAGGAAGATTAATGTTAATCCTCCTAGCTCCCAGCGGGTGACACCATAGAGGATCCTCTATGCTGATTCGACTAAATAAACTTGACAATTTTGTTACGACCAAATCGGCAAATTAAACTAGGTGGCTAGGGCACTATAGTCAATGGCACTAGAGCTAATACAGTAAATATAATTCCATTACCTTCATTGATGCTAAGGAAGGATTTGCATTTCATTTCAAGTCTTACCATTAGGAGGCTGCCCTTTAGATTTGTTTACTTCGCACTTTAAATGTGTTTACATAGAGTCAGGTAAAAAATGTTACTTACCTAAAGGCCTCAGGCCAAATCAGATCGGTTCAAAATCGGGTTGCTTTGGAAACGGTTGATTTTTATAATAGGCCTATAATGTCGATTTTCAAGCCGAGCAGAGCCTGGACTACAAGCTTGAGAGATCAAGCACAAAGTCAGAAAATCAAGCTCGAGCCGATTTTCTCAGTATTCAATACAATAATGCACAATTAAAAGTAAAATCTTTTATATACGTGAGGATCACGCTCACGAAATTGAAAGATTAGGCCTACACTTTTGCCGCGGCCGCAAACGTTCAATATTTTGCCACGATTGCGGAAGACGATAATGACGTTTCTTTATTAGCGAGAGATATATCTAGGATTTAGCCACGATTACAGAAAAATGATTTACCCGTCACCAACGATGGGTCGCGGGGAGATATTAGGCCGTGATATTAGATTGGGCCGTGAACATGGGAGACGATGATGCTGCTATCTAATGATGTCATAGGTTCGGTTGCATTTGCAATCACGGTAAACTATGATAATGTTTCTTCCATGACTTATGACCACGGGAAGTAGGTATTTACGATTTTGCCGCGATCATGGAAGACGATAATGACGCCTCAGGAGATGCCTTGTCAAGTTTATTGCAAAATTGCAAGCTTAGGCGGTAATACATGGGAAAATGTTTTTAAAGATACACAAAAAACATCCACAACCACACACACGACCAGGGGGGGGGGGAGGGGGGCCCGGCAAACAAAATTGCGGGTGGCCCGCGGGTTCTTATCGCCGCCACTGAGTTAGCTAACACCAAGCGGTGATGTGCTGTGTTACGACGAATCGACATAGGCTAGTATGCTAGAACACCCACAGATAGCTGCACTGCTTGGAACGCAGGTGGTCCAATTGTATTGCCAATTGGAGGCAGAAAAACAAGAGATGAAGTTGATTTCTAAACTTTCCAGACAGGGATTTTACAGGGAAAGGCTGCACTTTACTTTAGGTCCTACACTCATTCGATTGAAAATATCGATCGATATATCAATTAATCGATTGTTTCATTCAATATATCAAACGATATATCGAATGAAACAATCCTAATCGATATTTTCATTCGAATGAGTGTAGGACCTAAAGTAAAGTGCAGCCGAGACACAATAGGTCACTAACGTGTACAAACCGTCCTCGGCTAGATCCTGAGCCATAAGCTACTAACTGGGCAAACCAAATGTCAAATTCTAAGCCTAGCCAAACACATTGACTCAACTTACTTAGGCTAATGGCCTAGCCGCCTCTATTAACAAGATTAACAAGACATGTCAAATAGTTGGTATTGGGTTGGAAATTGAGTAGTCCTAGCCCTTTCTCAAGAAGCGTTTGACAGGAAAATATAGGCTAGCATGCCGTCATACCAGGGCATTGCACAAATTGCCTGCCTAAGTTAGGCCTACTGATCGTAATGCATGAAGCAGTATCTCTCAACTGAATTTTATAGGAGCCAAAAAATACCCTCGTAAGTTATGGGAAAATATCTACATTATACTAATTAGGAACAAAGGCAGTAAATTAAATTACCTGTAAGATTTGAAACAAAGACGGCGATTGCACTCCAAAATGGCGTAATCCAGAGAAAGAGGAGTAGAGTTGTAGAGGAGAGGAGAATAAGAAGAATCAGGAATCAGTCCAACCAACACACCACGACCACTCAATGAAACGGTACGGTGGAGGTGGAAGGTGGAGGAGGGGCGGACGCAGTTTATCCACACGGACACGACTAAAACAAAAAAACCCCCGCTCGCCTGGGTCGATATAATCCCGGTCCGGCCTATCCCTCTTTTCAATCATTACAAATCCCGTTTTATCCCGCATGAATTTTCTAGGTCAATCCCGAGTAATCTAACGACGTATATAATTTTTCAAAAGTTGTTTAACACTTGTGTAATTTGTTACAGTAATCAATTTGAGTTTGTTTTTATCTGGAAATTATATGAGTTTGAAAATAAGAAAAGACAAACAGCAAGAGCAGAAAATCCTGTTTCAAGAATCAATATTTTTATTCCGTTAGACATGTACATGCAATTGGAGTACAAGCAACAAAAAAGTGCTTATTTCTCGCCTATCCATGAAGTTGAAGTTTGAAGACATTGTGAAGATATAGCGGCTAGTCCCTGCCCACAAAATCTGTTCGGGACGAGAGCACGGGAGCGAACAGCCAAACTTCTACCTTTGACTATTAATACAACAACAACGTCAATGCTTCTACCCTCCCTCCAGCCCAGCTGTTATTTGGAGGCTTCTGATTGGCTGAGGGTACACCATTACCGCAACGATACGGCTTGGCTGATGAACTGATACAGCCGGGTTCGATTCTCACCAGTGGCACTAATTATTTTTGTCTCGGATTTTTTAACTAGGTGTACAATGCAGTTTTCTGCTTGCAATATTGAGCGGAGCCAGCATATTAATTTAATGTCAATGATATATTTGGTTCGCATTTTAAATAGAATGCCTATTTGCAGTAGGTATCCAAAGTCAATCATATGTCAGGATTAAGTGAATGAATTGTCTACTTGCAGGAACCATATTCTATGTTTCATCTGGTTCTCATAAGTTAAATGTCTACTTTCAGTAACCAATGCTAATGATACATTTGGTTCGCATAAATGGAATGCCAATTTAAAGATTCTAAAGTCAATTGTACGTCCGGTTCACGTAGACGGATTGTTTACTTGTAGTATCCAAACTCAATGGTACATGTAAATGAATAGTCTACTTGCAGTATCCTAAATCATGGTCCATTTATTTCGTTCACTTAAATAAAATGCCGAATTGCAGTATCCGAAGTCAATGGTAGGCTTAGGCCTACTTCTGCTTCACTTATATGGGATGTCTATGTGCAGTATTTAAAGTCAATTATGCGTCGGGTTCATGTCAACGAATTGTGTAATTGCAGTATCGAAACTATGAGTGTTATATTTGGTTCACCTTAATGGAATTCCTATTTGTACACTGCAAATAGGAATTGCAGTACATATTCAAAGTCTACATTAATGGCACGTCTTGCTCACATAAAATACTGTAAAAGTTATTTACAGTATCCAAACGCAATATGGTGCATTAGCCTAATTCTGGCAACCCTTATGGTTATTAATTTTGTAGTAAATTATGCTCAATGCTATTAATCAAAAGTAGGAGTGTAGTATAAGAGAAGTTATAAAGTCAATGATAAGAGCTTCGCTACGCTCTGCTCAATAATTTCTATATCCTGCAAATGAATCATGGTAAACCTATGCGATACCTAAATTATTAAAAGGCAATAACGTGCATTATTTGAGATCCCAGGTTCGAATCTCCTCGGCGGCCTTAAAGTTTTGCTTCTAATTTTGTTAAAATATGATTTTCTCTTAACTTCACTAATCAGTTTTTTTATCTGAGACATTTATAATTTAATTTTGTGATAAGAATGCATTTTTTATATAAATACATTAACTTTTTGTTTGTAATAATTTCCTAACAGCGAATAATTGAGATAGGCTAATCGATAATATAATTAGGTCTAGTTTTATTTCAGCAGTTAAAAGTAAGAAATATATTGTCAACCACTTTCAAAATTTCCCTTTGGTGCAATACAATTGATCAATACGACTATAATGTAGACTACAAAGAATAAGTGAAAACTTTAGGAATTGGTTTACCGGTACGTTACATAACTAATGACATCAAAATAAGCAGTTTGCTTAACTTGAAACCTTATTATTCCTAGTAGCTGGAACCTATATATTTTTTCCAACCTAACTTTAGACTACTACATGGCAATGTTTAAAACTATTTTGTAAGTTAGTATCGCAGAGTAAAGCGAGGTGGTAGACAATAGGCCTACCAGTAGGCATATTTGGTTTAAAACGACGTTGTTACATCTTCTCATGAATTTGACAGAGGAGCATATAGTCCTAATTTAATTAATGATTAATTCTTTTCGAAGTGCACACAGCAATATTAGTGTTAATCCTTTGGGATTTTATTGTCTAAGTTACACCATTTAGTTGTAAACCTTATCTGTAAACCAAGTGGTTGTGATTTCATTTCGTAAAATTATTTTGTATTTTTAGCTACAGGTACATTTTTTTACAAATTTACTTGCAAATCAAGGGCAGTGTGATTTTTGTCGGTATAATTATGTTATAGTGTTTTTTTAATGTCCTCGTTTTAACTTCTCCTTCTCCACGCTACATAGGCCTAGGCCTAATTAGTTGACTATTCATTGTTAAAAAGAACAGAACGATTATACAATTAAATATAAACGTCATGATTTTAATCACTCAATATATGACTGATTGTTAATCACTTCGTATTACATGCAATTAACTAATATGCTCTTTAGTATTCATCAGATTTTTTCTTTTGTACTGTATTTATAATGTGGTAGATTTGTTGACTAACATATGTCGAGGCTCTTGTTTACTTTTTATTGTTTACTCGCAAATAATGTCATGGCAACCAATTAACCCATAAGGCCCATGTTAAATTTCTAAAAGTTTGCATTCATGTAGGGAATATTCCTATGGTCCGATTTGTACCATTTCAGATTTATACCTTCCCATGGTTGGGTACTATGACTGTGTTAAATTTCGTGAAGATCGCTTCTGCCGTTCAGGAGGAGTATTTGTAATAAAAAAGCAGGAGTGTAGTATAAGAGCTTCGCTCGCTTCGCTCGCTCCGCTCAATTATCAGCAAGTTTGGTTAGGTTATGACAGTTTAATTTTATGATTAAACAAATTATAAATTTGAACTATTTATGGTTTTATTTTATGAACAGAACTATTTTATCGATTAATAAACCTTTATTGGAATTTTTCATTATCAGCGCGTTTGGTTAGGTTATAACAGTTTAATTTCAATAAATAAATTATAAATTTGAATTTGAGGCATTTATAATTTTATTTTATGAACAAACAGTAAACCTTCATTATAGCATAGATAAAACATACTCCCTTAGTAGATTTCTCATCCTAATGGAACAGCTGAAGACAATTTTATTGTTAGTTCTGTACGGTTTTGTGTTGGTTAGTCTATGATTATAGTCAATCAGAGGCCTCCAAATGACACTGTTGGCAAAACTAATCCTTGAATAAAAATTCAGCTGGAGGGACTAGGTAGGGTATGTAGGGTAGGTAGGGCCAAAATGCCATGGAGCTCAACATTTCAAAATGCCAGGTCATGACCTATAAGCGTGGAAAGGGCGGTGTTCTCCATGACTACTCGATTGATGGCTCTGTCCTGAGAAGAGTTGATGAGTCCAAGGACCTGGGGATAGTAATGACTTCTACCCTCAGTCCGGAAAGGCACTTGAATTACATAGTTAACAGGGCATCCTCTCTTGTTGGGTTCATTATGAGATCTACAAGGGATTTCAACTCACCAAGACCACTTGTTATTCTGTACAAAACTCTAGTCCGACCAATTATGGAGTACGGATCCATTCTATGGTCACCGTATCAACTCGGACATCAAGATATGCTAAACAAGATCCAAATCCGTTTTGTCAGACTGCTGGGATGTAGGATTGGCTTTGACTACATAGAAACGCCTATCAGAGAGGCCGAAGAGCTTTTTGATCTCAAACTACTCCAGTTAAGAAGAACTAATCTTGACCTCTTCTTCCTTTACAAGCTGGTGAATGGTCTCCAGGGGCCCATTTCATAATAAACTATAAGTTACAAGTTACAACTTGTAACTTGTAATTTCCATTAGATTTGCATTGGGCGATCAGCTGATTTACTAATAATATTAGTTTGTACTTTATTATGAAATGGGCCCCTGGACTGCCCTGCTCTCTTGTCCGGCATCGACTTCACAATTCCTAGAGGAGCACGTTCCGGGACCATCTTCCGGAGAAGGTTTGAGCCCTGCTACTACGCTTATCACCATGGCACTTCAAGACTGCTAAGACTAGGCAGCATTTTTGCTCCTCAGCTGAACTTCTTCGGCGTCTCGGCCAACTCCTTCAAGAGAGAAGTCCAGAGGCTACTACAGTGATTCCCTGCAACACAGTCTGAATATTGTGATTCGGACAGTCTGAAATTTGTAGCTGTTGTATTACCTGATAGTGATTATTCTCTATTTGCATGTTTCATTTTATATTATATTTGTTGGTTAGGTCATTGTTACCAAAGAGCATATTTATTACTGTTACACACTACATATTTTATTGCATCACTGGCTTGGTTATTGTTATCTAAGAGTTGTTATTTATTATTTGTTACTCACTGTTGTTATTTATTAATTATTGTTACTCACTGTTGTTATTTATTAATTGTTACTCACTGTTATTAATTTTTCATTGTAAGTTGTTATTTATTCTGAGAATATTTATTTATTGTTACTCTATTGCACTCAATCTTTGTCACTTTTTATTTATTTAGAGTATTAACATAATTGAACAGCCGTCCATGTATTCACTCTTGATCAGTTTATTTGTTACTATTAAGCATGCACAACAATGTATTTAACTGTATTGGTTGTAACCGTTAAATGAATAAACGAATGAATAAATGAGGGTAGAAGTTTCGCTCCCGAACAGATTTGGTGTGGTGGTGCCGTGTTTCCCCCGGACGTGCTTGAGGCGGACAGTGCGTGAGGCGGACAAAACTGGTTCGGGTGGGTAATTGAGCGGACGTCTCC